TACAGCTCTGTTTTCTTTTTCACAGCTAGAGGAAAGGACTGGCTTTTTTTTTTTTTTTTCAGCCTAGGTATTTTGAGATTCTTCAATGTTACAATCAGCAAATCACTCTTGGCTGAGTCAGACTCCATGACATGGGGAGACTAGTTTACCTATCTGTATTTGTACGTTTGGGGTGTTTCCCATTTTAAGCTATTACAAGAAACATTCATGTATAAGTCTTTGTATAAATACATGCTTTGGCTTTTCTTGGAAAAGTACCCAGGAGTGCGATGAATAGCCAATGCAACACATGTTCAGAATTTTTGTGTGTGTGGATGTTTTTCCTGTGTGGTCATGTGGATGCCTGGAGCTTGGAGTTACAAACAGCTGTGGTCCGCCATGTGGGTGCTGAGAGTCCAACCTGGTCCTTTGGAAGAACAGCCAGTGCCCTTAACTGTTGAGCCAACTCTTCAGCTCCAAGTGTTTATTTTTTAGATAAACATTTTAAATATAATGTTCACACATGACTAAAGTCATAGCAGTTAAGAACAGTAAACTTTGGACATTTTTTCCCCTTAAAAACAATAAGCTAATCATTTATATGTGTTCTGATTGGTTACAAATAGATCAGTGGAGGTGACACACGCCTTTAATCCCAGCATTCAGGAGGCAGAGGCAGGCAGATCTCTGTGAGTTCCAGGCCATCCTGGTCTACAGAGTTAGTTCCAGGATAGCAAGGACTACACAGAGAAACCCTGTCTCGAAAAACCAAAACCAAACCAAACCAAACAAAACAAAAAACCCAAATAGAGCAGTGATTCTCAACCTTCCCAATGCTGAGACCTCTTAATACAGTTCTTCATTTGGTGGTGACTCCCCAAACCATAAAATTATTTTGTTTTGTGGGGCAGTGGTGGCAGGCACGCCTTTAATCCCAACCCTTGGGAGGCAGAGGCAGGTGGATCTCTGTGAGTTCAGGCCAGCCTAGTCTACAGAGTGAGATCCAAGACAGCCAGGACTGTTTACACAGAGAGACCTTGTCTTGGAAAAAAAAAATTATTTTGTTGTTACTTCATAACTGTAATTTTGCTACTGTTATGAATCGTAATGTAAATATCTGATATGCACTGTTAGGGGCATGACCCCCGGGTTGAGAACCACTGAAATAGATGCTAGGCTTCTGATGCACAGTATCAAATGGTGTTCTGTTAAATCACATCACAGCACAAAGAGCAAACCATGCTGTGGAAATTGTTCCTGGACTGGGGACATAGCTCAGTAGCAATGTGTTTGCTTAGCATACGTGAAGTCTTCGGTGCAACCCCTAGACCCAACCACCAACCAAAGCAAATGTCGGGAGCGCTATGTGGGACTCATGACTAATCACAGCACTCAGGAGGTAGCGGCAGGAGGACTGATGGTCATGAGTTCAAGGCCAAGCTATCCAGGACTACATAACATGACCCTGTCTCAAAAAACCTGAGTCAGCGAAATGGCTCAGCAGGTAACGGCGCTGGCTGCCAAGCCTGACGACCTGAGTTTGACATCCAGGACTCACGATGGGAGGAGGAACCAACCAGCTCCTGCACATTGTCCTCCAATCTCCATAAGTACACACTCCCCAGCAACCAAATAAAAACCAAAGAAATATTTTAATCTTGCCCAAATTTCTACAGATATTCCTAGTTGACAATTTTTTATTATGCTACAAAATAATAATATTAAAAAGAGCTCATTTTTATTTTGTTTTTTTAAAGTTGTAGGCTCAGGCAAGTATTGTGGCCCATGCCTGTAAACCCATTCCCCAGGAGACAGGATCGGGAAGACCACTAGTACATGTGAGCCTCAGCTGCATAGCAAAACTTGCTCTCAAAAAAGAGAACAGAAAAGAAAAAGCGCAGCAGGCCCAGAGCAGCGCTGAGCAGCGCACATTTCCTGAGAATTCTACAGGAATTGTGACCTGTAGCAGCCACATTCCTTGGGTTGTGTGAGGGTCAGAGCAGATGTTTTTCTCTTTTTCTACCAACTTTCAGGTTTCCGTTCTCTTTGCTCTCATTTATTATTTTTATGTATATGGATGTTTTGTCTGCATGTATATGTATGCACCATATATGTTCAGCATTGATGGAAGCCAGAAAAGGGCACCGGAGCTCCAGGAACTGGAGTTAGCCGCATTTGTGAGCTGGCAGATCAGTGCTGGGAATCAAACCCGGGTCTCCTGGAAGAGTTGAGAGCAAAATGCTCCTAACTGCTGAGCTGTCTCTCTGCTCCCTGCTTTCAGTGTAAAGGAAGGAGTAGGCTATTTAAGTTATTCTGTCTTTCTAAAAACAGATTCCTTTTGTTTATTTGTGTGTGCCATGCCCACAGAGTCCAGAAAGTGCTGTCAGATCCTGTGGAGTTAGAGTTGCAGGTGTTTGTGATCCACTGACAGGGTGCTGGGATCCAAACTCGGGTCCTCTGACACAGAAGTAAGTGCTCTTAACTGCTGAGCCATCTCTTCAGTGCCTTATTTAAGTTGTTACTAAGGAAAACACCAGACACCACAGCAGATCAGAAAGACAGAAACACCTTTTTATCAGTACTCCGGGGCATGAGAGGGGACTGATCTCGACCGGTAGCTGTGAGCAGCCTGCTGGCCCGCCCCACAGCGGCCTTCGGAAGGCGTGGTTCCTGCATGCCTGTGCTCCAGATTGTTCCCTCATTGCTGTCTGCTTTGCTCTGTGTGCCTCAGCTGCGTTCCGTCTGGTCAGTACCTTCAAATGCCTTGTTCTCTGTCCCTGCTGCCCTTGCTCACTTGCTGTACCTGATGCTGCCCTGCACCTCTCAGCTTGTTCCCGGTTACCCGGCAGGGCAGAGGAGCATGAACTCACAGGGCTTCAAGGCCTGTGAAAGCAGGGCTGTGTCTTCTCGGCATCTCATTCCCACCCACTGGTACAGTGCACAGGCATATTTGTCGAATGGATAAACAGGCTTCACAATGAGTCATTTTAACCCCAAGTTACAAATAAAGTGGTAGGCCTCAGAGTTCAGATGGAAGAGGGACACCAAAGCCATCCGTGTTTTCCCCTGGCCTGAACAGTTCCCCAGCTGTAAGCCGTTAAACACCCAGGGGAGGGCTGGCAGGCAAAGCAGGTAATTGAATTGAAACGCTACACCTAAGTACATCATTGAGCAAATACAGGAACATAATACAGTCAGTTTTCCATAAATCCAATAATGACAATACTGGTGTTACTCTCTGTAAAAACTGATTTATTCGAGTTTTAGACTTACACAAATTAAAGTGACACCGTGGAGGCAGCTTGTAAATCCAGAGGACTTTGTGGGATTATGAGATGTCACCCAGAGATACTTGATTTTCACGGCGAGGGTCACACATCGCATTGCCTCCCTGCTCCCTACTTTCTGCTTGTTACAGGATTGACATTTTAGAGTTTTTTCTAGAAATTATAGAAAACTAGAGTGGTACTTACTTCTGTTAAGTACCGCTCTCTTTGTGTTCTCCTTCGGCTCTTCCCTGCTATACTGTGCACTCTTTCCTTTAGGGAGCCTTATTGCTGTATCACTGAAGTCTCGGGTCTCCATCTGTCTGTCTCTGTCTATCCACACCCCACATCCCCATCTCACACCTCCTTATAAGGTGCTCTCCTTACACTGCAGTACTTAACCCTGCTGAGCTCAGTCCTCCTCCCAGAGTCTCGGCTTGTACCATTTCTCACGGCATGTTGTGTTCTTGTGCGGGGTTGTATATCGATGGTACCATACCGTATGGCTTTTTAGTGGTATATACTATCTCATAGGCATGCGTGTGTCTCAGCATCCCTAGGACCTGACACAGTTTCCAGCATTAGTGCATTAGAAACCATCACAGTTCTTGGGCTGTGGGTCTCCTTTAATGTGAGGTGACGCCTTGCTGGTCATCCTGAACAAGAAACAAGGGTTGTGACCATTGTTTATAGATTAGACTTCTGGGTTCTGAATGACCATAGGGTTTTTATTTGTGTTGTTTGTAGTTCAATTTCCTATTGTGGAGTGTTAGCAATTTTCCTGCCCTCTTGTTTATTTCTCTGGCTCTTTAAACCACTCCATGTCTTGGGCCTACTAATTCATCTGAATTAGGCAAAAAATTTCTGCAGAACTGAGCGTGACATTTTTCATTAAAAAACAAACTGAATGGGACTGGGCAGAATCTGGTGGTTACCTTTACAGCACGTGTGAGGCCCTGGCCGCCATTCCTAGCACTACACAAACACGAACAAAGTCAAGAAATTCATTCAACCCCCAGATCACTAATTCGAGCCAGCCAGTGTCATTTAGAAGTTTTTCTCAGGTCATCCCGCTGACTCTTGAATGCCTTGTAGACTCTAGCCTGAGATAACTCTAGCTTCTCCCCAGCTTTGACCTCCTGTGTGCACTTTCATTTTTTCAGCAAGCTGTTCTAATTTAGGCCTACTTCCTAAAGTCAGAGCCAGGCTCAGTCAAGGCACCAGGCAATTCTTAGTCTTCTGTGACTGACTCTGTCACATTTGGGAACCTCCCCTGTGCCCTGTGACCAACCAGCTAGCTCGTCCCGTCCCGTAGAGCGCAGCGCCTCCAGGCTAAGACAGTTTCTCACCACACTTGAGTTCCCATCACCCTGCTCTCAGCTAACTTCTCTCAACAGAAGTAGATTCCAGAGACAAATACCCATAATCCCGTATGACCGCCTGTCACAAGGTCTCTAATAAGCAGGCAAACCAGAAGAATTTAGACATCAGTCAATCTCAGGATAGGAAAATAGTTAAATTCTTAAAAGATTTTCTCAAAGTTTAACATGGTCTTCTAAGGTCAGCATTCTGTTTTCCGAGTTACGGCCCACAGATCTCTCCTCAACGTCTTAAGAAATGTCCCCTGTTAATCTAACCTGAGAATGCTAGTGTTTTGCTGGGTTCGTCAACATTGGGTGTGCAGTCCGTGAGCAAGAACTGGACAGTCTGTGCTCAAGGCAGGATCGAGACTTCTTTTTTTCTAATTCCACACAGACACGTCTTCGGCCTCTGAGGATGAGGGCTCTCTGAGACGCCAGGCCGCGCTCTCTGCTGCCTTGCAACAGAGCTTGCAGAATGCCGAGTCCTGGATCAACCGCTCCATTCAGGGATCGTCCACCTCTTCATCTGCATCTTCCACGCTGTCCCACGGAGAGGTCAAAGGAACCAGTGGGTCTCTAGCTGATGTATTTGCCAATACCCGAATAGGTAGGAGTTGGATCTACCCAAGAAGCCCACCTCATGTTCCATTTGGCACCTAGTATCCTGGAAACAGTTTATGGTTGTATTAGGTTTTCAATGGGGCCTAAAAAATATGATCACAGAGAAGAGTTCATGAGGCAGAGGAGGAAACACCAGCAGTATGTCTGTTGCAGGAGTAATAGGTATCCTCAGCATTATTGAGTGAAATGTTGCTCACCTGAAGCCATGTCTATTTCCATAAGCAATACTGAAGCTGCAAAATATAAAACCAGTCTGAGTATGGGTTTATCCCAGAAAAGAAGTAGTCCCTATATCAAGAGCTACTAAAATATGTAGCACCTCAGATTTCCCAGGAATATCATCTATATTGCATAAAACACAACATACTTAATCTGAGCAAATTCTACACTAAGCCGTGGTCAGCAAGGCCTTCTGGTCCTGCCTAAAGACTGGGTTTATGTTGCTTGCTGCGGTAATGTTGCTGCATGAGAAGTGTGCGGCCGAGGGTTGGCACCCCGAGCTCTGGCTGCTGCGGCTGCTGCTGCTGCTGTTGTGTGTACAGCTGTCGCTTGGCTCTGCTTTATGTATTTGTGAGTTTGTTTTTGTTTTTTCTCAGGTCTCTGACTTCCTTACTTGGCGGCACCGATCGCACTGAGCCGTGCCCTCGAGCCATGTCTGGTGTCTTACTCTTCCTTCTTGACCACCAGTCACCTTCCCTTGTCTAATTGTCGTCTCAGTAACTCCTGTATCGCTTTAGATGATATCTCAATTGGATTTCTGAAAAGAAAAGATGGGAAGATTACAGTGTAGGGTTATACTTTTCAGAAGCTAGCTACCTTGTGGATAAAGTTCCACATTCAAAGCCACACGTCACCATGGTGACCCTCCCTGCACGCTTTGCTCTACTCGGTGTCACTGAGCCTCCCAGCGCAGCCGTACACAGGCCGGCGTGTTTCCCACCACTCTGTCCCAGAGAACAAGCAGCTGAGCTGTGGCCGGGAGGATTTATTGATGAGTATGTCTTTACAAACAAACAACGCTGTTCCACTTGAGAAAGAAATCCAGATACCCACTTTACATTGTCTGGATTTTATTAAGATGATTTCATGTGACTTCCTATTTTTCTGTTACTTTTTTTAGTTGAGTTACAGTAATATTGCTTTTGGATATTAGCTCCTATGGAAGTAATTCCTGTTCTTTAGAAGAGACTGTAATCTACAGGGTGTGGTGGCTCAGGCCTTTAATCCCAGCATTCAGGAGGCAGAGGAAAGCAGTTCTCTGTGAGTTCAAGGCCAGCCTGGTCCCATAATGAGTTCCGGGATAGCCAGGGCTATGCAGAGAGACCCTGCCTCAAAAGAAGGAGAAGACACTAGTCGTATGGATCCCATGTTGGTATCGCATCTTGATGTGCAGCCTAGATCTAGTTAGGAGCACGTAGAGATTCGACTTGGATTTTGTAAAGAGTAAACTGTCCTAGATGTAATTAAGTCACTAGCTGCTTTTCTTTTCTTTCTTTCTTTTTTTAAAGATTTATTTATTTATTACATTTACAGTGTTCGGTTTGCATGTGTCCCTGCAGGCCAGAAGAGGGAGCCAGATCTCATTACAGAAGGTTGTGAGCCACCATGTGGTTGCTGGGAATTGAACTCAGGACCTCTGGAAGAACAGTCAGTGTTCTTAACCTCTGAGCCATCTCCAGCCCCTAGCTGCTTTTCTTAGCAGTTTATCCTGAACATCTTTTGTATATTTACGATTATGCTATTATTGTGATTTTAAAGTACACCACTGCTTTTCTGTGCCTTAGTTTACATCGCCACTCCCTGAGTTTGGACAATGAAATAGTGTCCAGTGCTGTCCTCTTACAAAATGGCTCAGGTGGACATACTGGATCAAATAAAATATACGTTTCTAATTGGGTGTGGTGGCACACACCTGTAACCCCGCGTGTGGAAGGTTGAGACAGAATTAAGGTCAACCTGAGCGACATAGCAGGATCCTTTCTTGAAAACAAAACGACACAGGAAACAGCTGAGTGTGCTGGTACACACCTGACGTCCCACGAGGCCCGAACAGGAAAATCAGAAAAAGAAAACACTTAATGCTTTTTTTTTTTGCCACATTTTACCACATTGGACTCATACCAGTTATTTTTCAAACTTCAAAAAGTATTACTTATAAAAGTAATATTCATAGACCTTCGAGGTGCAGAAACCTTTCTCTTAAATTGATCTTGGAAATTACATCTCCCCCTTTAATGCCTTTTGGTGGGTTTTCATTAATTTTCTGTCATATGGTTTGCATCCTCGAATTGCCTTCTTCAGAAGATATTTTCTGATTTATTTTATTTTATTTTATTTTTTGGTGTGGCGTAGCTTTCTCCCCATGATGTCACTCACTTTCTCACATCAGTTCACTGTCTGTCGGCACTGAGCAAGATGGTGCACACTGTGATCCCAGCGCTTGGAAGGTAGAAGCAGGAGGATCAGCTGACCTGGCTGATGAGATCCTGTCTCAAAAAATAAAATTCAAAAGAACTTTTCCGTGAAATAGCATATGTGGGTTAATCTCTGCTTAGAGCAAGAAAGAGCCTTGCCTGAAAGTGGATCCAACTTAACTGTGGGTCATTTTATCAAAAGTAGAAGTAGACTTTGTCTCGTTTTCTTTCCTTTGAGAACGTGGGTCTCTGAGCCACTCTAAGGCACTGTTTGGGCTTTGGTAGAAGGGGAAACGTCCTAGATACAGCATGACATAAGGAAATGTCCACGGAACTAGAGAACTAGCGGCAAGTTGGGCATTTACTCACGTTGGTTCTGCTTTGAAGTGACTTTTACAACATTGGATTCCTAGTATCCTCTCTGTATAGAAAATAATGTTTTTGAGAAACATTGGCTATGTGATTTGACCTAATAACTAAAGCTACTCAAATCTTGAAAATTACCATTTTGGAAAGCTGATAAACTCTGGTTTACCTTAATTTTCCTCCAGTAAGTTGCTAGTAGACTTTGATTAAAGAGTTTGTTTTAGGGCTGGTGAGATGGTTTAGCAGGTAAGAGCGCTTGGAGGCAAGCCTCACGACACACGTTCCATCATCCTTGGCACTGCAACGGAAGGAGAGGACTAACTCACAATGCACGATAATAATAAGAAATAAATAAGTAAATATTTCTTAAAGTTTGTTTTAAAGGAGCTAATGATTTTTATTCCTTCTAAAGTAAAAGACTGTTAATACAATATGATTCTAAGTTTTGTCTTTTCCTCTCAGAGAATGTCTCAGCTCCTCCTGACGTCACTGCAACTACCTCTTCCTCCTCCTCCTCCTCACTTCGCCCAGCAAACATTGACCTGCCCCCTTCCGGCATAGTTAAAGGCATGCACAAAGGATCCAACAGGTCCAGCCTTATGGATACGGCTGATGGTATGAGTCCCTCCGTTAAACTGGGAAGATTCAGATCTGCCTGGCAGCTCCTCCCCGTTGTCCTAGCTGCAGAGACACACTGCCACTGGCTCACTCACAGTCACCATGCAGAGTCCCCCTTGTCACTTTTTCACACTTGGTGTCTGTAAAAGGAACTGAGAACCAAGTGCGGAAGAGAAAGAGCTGTACAGGAGAAGAGGAAGCCTGGGGACCTGCCAGCCGTGTGCTCAGCCGTGTGCTCAGCCGTGTGCTCAGCCGTGTGCTCAGCCGTGTGCTCAGCCGTGTGCTCGGCATGGCGGCGGCGGCGCTGCATGGGTCTCCTGTTGTCAGAAAGTTTGGTCCCTTCCGAATAGAAGAAGATGGGCCAGGGCCAAACATCATTAGAAGTCAAATCTGGGAGGAAAGAGGAAGGGGAAGAAGAGTAAGAAAGAGAAAGCACAAAGTGTTAATAAACAAGGCATTTAATTCCTTAGAAGTCTCATTGGTAATAAAAAACTTAATAGTTAAGTTTTTCAAAAGAAGAAGTCTTTTGAGGTAGTTGAGGAAATAAAATATATTTATTAAACTCAATGATTTTAACTGAATTTACCATTTTTTTCCCCTTACAGGTGTTCCTGTCAATAGCAGAGTATCTACAAAAATCCAGCAGCTTCTCAGCACTCTGAAACGACCCAAAAGGCCCCCCTTAAAGGAATTTTTTGTGGACGACTCTGAAGAAATTGTGGAAGGTAGTAGTAAAAGTGCCAGAAGCACACACTCACTAGCAGCTGGGTGTGTACGGTCAGGGCTGAACGTGGCATGGCTTTTACTCAAGGCTGTGCTCTTCCCTAAGGAGCTTTTGTGTGTTAGGTGTCGGGAGATGGTCAAGGAGGACCAGGAGCTTAGAGTTGTCCTTGTTAGTGTAGTCTGAACTTGGTCACGAGTCACAAGTGCATAATGCAGTGTGTGTGGTGGTGGTGGTGGGGGGGAGTACACGCGCATGTGTGGAGGTCAGAAGTCACTTCTGAAAGTTCCTTCTCTCTCACTATGTCGGGACCAAACTCAGGTCAGCAGCCTTGATGGCAAACACCTTTATTTGATGAACCATCTCATTGACCTAGAAATACATCATTCGTAAAGTTATTTGCACTTTGTATTTTCTGAGAGTGTAGGTAACAAATCCAGCCTCAAGGCTTTGCCTACTCTTTCTTATAATACAGATGGGCCTTTCACTGGATCTGCTAATCAGTGCACACACTCGACTTTCTAGAGGACAGAGTGGTGGATGGTAAAGACATGCAGACGCACTTCCTTCCTCATGCTGTGTGACTTAGACCAGTCGGTTCTAAAATGAGTCAGCAGGGAGACAGGTTAGCCAGTAGGGAGGTAAGAGGTTGGTTCTGTGTGTGAGGTTGAAGACAGGTCATCAGTCCATCAATCATCAGAATTTATTTGTGCAACAGTTAAATACATTCACTGATGAAATCATGATATCCTGGATTTCATCAGAAAACTTGAAAAGGGAATGGAATGGGTGTGAGTGTGGGTAAAGGGCAGCCATTCTCTATGACTGAAGCTGATGGATAGACCTCCATAAAAAAGGTGAGGTGGGGGGGGGGGGGCAGACGGGCTGACTCTTACTGTGTAAGGAGCTACCAGTAAGCCCTACCAGTTTGTGCTTGTTTTTGTGGGGTTTGTTTGTTTATTTGTCCTGAGTCTAAATGTAGAGTATAATATCAGAATAGTAATGGAATTTGGCATATTGGAGACTAGTTTTGATCTTTGTCAGGTTCTAACAACGTTTTACTAATTGTAAATAGATTTCTTTGACTAATAGTCATTTTTGGAAAAGAAAACACCAGTATCTTTTGGAAGCATGAAAAAGTGTGCATGAAGCCCTAGTGGAAAACTGTGCCTACCAGGTGTAAAGTCTCTGTAGAGACGAGACAGTTTATTAGCAGTCACTCCTGGGTAGTCCTGTTAAATGTAGACTACCTTTAAGGGTCTGTAATGGTCTGAAAATTATGCAAAATAAGGAGTGAAATGAATATTTTGTCAGTAGAAGAATGAATTCTAAGAAATGGATGCAAGTAGAGATCATTACACTAAGTAAATAAGCCAGACTCAGAAACATAAAGACAGCATGTTTTTTCTTGCAGAACCTAGATTTAAATGTGTGTGTGCAGGTCCTGAAAAGGGGGGACTGTGAGAGAGGAGAAGGAAGTCTTAGCAGAGGTGGGCCTAAGAGGCAGAAATGAGAACTGTCTAGGGAGAGGGAGGCCAGCAGGAGGGGGTAGGAGAGCTGGGAGTGGGGATGAGCAAGAAGGAAGTGTCATGAATCAGACATACAAAAATGCTGTTAGGAAACCCGTCACTTTATATACTAACTCCGGAAAAAGAAGGAGTCAAAACAAATTCCTACAAATCTATCATAATAGGGAGTTACAAAGAACAGCTTTCTTCTTATTTTTAGTTGTCTATACTGATTTATTTTGCATGGATGGGTATTTTCCCTCGTGCATGTATGTGTAATACTTTCATTCTTAGTGCCCACAGAGGTCAGACGAGGGCATCAGATCCCCTGGTACTGGAGTTACAGACAGTTGTGAGCTGACATGTAGGTGCTGGGAATTGAACCTGGGTCCTCTGGCAGAGCTGCCAGTGCTCCTAACTGTGGAGCCATCTCCCTGGCTCACATACAGCTACAGCATGCACTAGGAGCATGCACACAGCAAAAGCAGGACAAGCTGGGCAGTGGGTGACTACAGACTTGGGGAGAGGAGCGAGAGCATCACCCCCGGGCGAGTCACACCTGAGTTGAAGGATTATCCTCACTGCTGTCTGTGTGCCCCTAGTGCGCCCTGTAGCTGTCTGTGCGGTGTTTGTTCTCTCCAGGTGCTTGTGGAGACAAGAGCCTTGGCTACGGTGTTCCTTGGCAGGCCTTCAGTTTGTACTTGTCCTTGCTTCAGCCTCCTGAACTCAGAGACTGTGGGCAAAGGCTCCCCCCTGCTTGTTCACCTTCTCAGTTTACCATAGTCTGTGCACATAATGCACACAGTAAATACGTGACTGTTTAGTCTATATGTAAATCATCTTTCCTTCTATGAGAATGTATAATTTAAGCCTGAGCACAGTGGGAGACAGAGGCAGGTGACTCTCTATGAGTTCAAGGCCAGCCTGGTCTACAGATGGAGATCCAAGCCAACCAAGCCTACTTAGGGAGACCCTGTCTTAAAACAAAAACAAACAACCAAAACCAACAATAAACAAACAAAAAAAATATAGGAGTTAAAGAATGATGTGAATAATCCTCGTTCACTGTAGCAAACCCTACGGTGTATAAATGAGTATTAACAGTCCCTCTGCGTCTTGGCGCAGGTGTTCTTCTCTGTCGCTCACAGCTCTGCTCAGCTAACACTGCTAAGCAGCCCCTGCATTGGGGGCACTGTAAGCCGTGATGGGAGTAAGAGCCACCCCTGCCCTGGACGCCGTGACTCCTCTGGAGGATGATGGAAGCCCTAAGGTCTTCCTTTCTGTTCAAGAATAAGCCAGAGACGCAGAGGAGGAAATGTGTTTGAGGTTAGAGTTGTGTTAGAGGCACATGAACTTACTTCGTCTTCTTGCCTGTTTGCTACAGTACCTCAGCCAGATCCCAACCAGCCGAAGCCTGAGGGCCGGCAGATGACGCCAGTGAAGGGCGAGCCCCTCGGAGTCATCTGTAACTGGCCGCCTGCACTGGAATCCGCCCTGCAGCGCTGGGGCTCTACCCAAGCCAAGTGCCCCTGCCTGACCGGGCTGGACATGTCCGGGAAACCAGTCTACACCCTCACATACGGTGGGTCCCACTGCGCTAAGCATTCTCAGGGATTGGGGGCAGTGTTTCTCTTGGTGTTTCGCAGTTGGATATGTCTCAGTTATTAATTAGACCCTATGTTCCAAGTGGAGCTATTGCTAAACATTTTCTTTAGAGAGGATTTGTTTTTGTTTCGTGTTGTGTTTTTGAGACAAAGTCCATGTAGCCCAGGATGGCCTCAAACTTGTAGCCAAGGATGGCCTTGAACTCTTGATGCTCTCAGCCTCCTGCTTTTGAGTCTTGTGTTGTAAAACAAACAAAAAATGGTGCCCTCTCTTTAAAGGGATACTTAAGGATACTCTTGTTACATCATAAAATAATATTTTGAGATGAACCATGTATCGGTGGCACTCACCCTTATTCTCAGCACTTGGGAGGCAGAGGTGGACAGATGTCTGTGAGTTTGAGGCCGGTCTGGTCTACATAGAAAGTTCCAGGACAGCCAGGACTACATGGTGAGACCCTGTCTCAAAAAGAGAAAGGAAAAAAAAAAAAGCCACAGAAAAGACCTGAAATATTAAGTCAGGCAGGGTGACGTTCTCTTTGTCCCGGGACAAGAGTGGTTCATGAGAGGCTGCTTGCTGTGGTGGGGAGGGTGGTACTGACCACCGCAACCGCTCCTGACTGGCCTTTGTCTTAGCGCGCTCGCTCGCTGGAATAGGCTTATAATTATTTTCTGTCTGATTGTTTTCTTTTCCCAGGAAAGTTGTGGAGCAGAAGTTTAAAGTTGGCCTACACGCTGCTTAATAAATTGGGGACCAAAAATGAACCTGTGTTAAAACCTGGAGACAGGGTAATTTGTTTTCTTTTGTTTAGAAGGTGATGTTCTTTTGTTTCTGATACATGCACTCTGGGCTTTTGTTGTACAATAGTAAGATTTACATAACTTCTTTTTAAGATGCTGATTTGTTTGTGTTATGTGTGTGGGTGTGCTGCTGCCTGCATGTACATCTATCTGTACCATGTGCTGGTGCCTAAGGATGTCAGAAGAGGGCATCAGATTGCCTAGAACTAGAGTTACAAAGTGCTTGTGAGCGCCCACGTGTGCTGGAAGGGTCCTCTGGAAGGCCAGCCAGTGCGTTTAGCCCTGAGCATCTTGGCGGCCCTAGTGTCGCTCTTACCCTGAGAAAATAAAAAAAAACAGTTTAATTCAGAGTCCCAGTGGTCTAGCTCAGTGCTAGGCGCTGGTTTGTGGTTGAGAGGCTTCGGGCCCCTTTCTGGAGCTGCTTATTGGTAAACTGAGGTAATAAAAAGGGAAATTAAGTCTTTCTGAAGGTAAATACTTTGATGTTGAATCCAATCTTTGTCTTTATAAAACTGGCTCTTAAAATTGTTAAAGGCAAGTTGACACTGTTCGTTTAGTTCTTAATTGGAAGTGACATTAGAGCTGTTTAATTTTCAATTTTTTTCTTTTCCTGTTAGTAATGTACTGAGTATGATTACTCCCTACCATTCAACATTACTGTTTATTTGTAGAATGAAAAACCAGCTACTCCACAGCAGTTTTTATGAATTAACTTACTTACATCTGTTGACTTGTCGGGGGTGGGGTCTTAAGGAGGTCTTGAGATGACTCTTGGGAATTGGTTCTGGATTTCTATTGACTCAGACTATCCAGACCGCACGGCAAGCCCCTTGTCCACTCAGCCACCTCACTGGCCCCAGCTTTCTTTTCAGTAGGCTAACGATCACAGAATCTCTTAAACTAACTTTTTTACATTTATTTGTGTGTGTGTGTGTGTGTGTGTGTGTGTGTGTGTGTGTGTGTGTGTGTGTGTGTATGTGTATGTGTGTGAACATGAGTGTTCATGTGGAGGTCAGAGGATAGCTTGTGGGAGCTGGCTCTCTCCTTCCACTACGTAAATCCTAGGGATTAAACTCAGGTCATCGGGCTTGGTGGCAAGCACTTTTAGACTATCTCCTGGACCCTCAAGTAACTCTTTAAACATGCTTTTGCAAGATGTCAGAAGTACTTAAAGTATGGCTTTTACTTATACAAATGGACACTGGGGATTTTCCATGGCTCACTAAATCTTAAGCAGGTGATGTTGTGTCTACCCAAGTGTCAAGATGGCCATTTGTGAGCAGTAAAGAAATGGTTCTGTGGAATTAGTCATTTTTAGACCTCTAGGGCAGTTTAAAGGTGTAGACTGAACTCACCTTTGGAGTGAGTTTAAAGACTTGATTGCAAATGGAGAAGAAGCAGGAATCTAGTGACTGAGGGGCCGGAGGAAAGGCTCACTGGCTGAAGGGCTTGCTGTCCAAACCTCGCTGTGGAGGGAGACCTGGAAGTTGACCTCTAAGCACACATGCACCATGACATACACCCTGTGCTCACATACACACCATACACAAACAGTAATACTAAATAAAAGGAAATTTTTAAAAATTAAAAAGAATCCAGTGGTATGATTAGATCTCAAATGGTAATCTGTGAATATCCAAGCACAAAACAAGCGTCGAAGTATAGTGAAATGTATGTTTTTGCATCCTTGAGTAAAGTAGGGAGGTGAGTTATCCCTGTGACTTAGCAGAAGAAACTGCAGACCTGAACACACAGGGCTTTCAGTGTTTTCCTTGCTCACCTCTTGGTAGTGGGTCGACTGTATTTACAGTTGTTCATGTTACCAGATGCCATCATGCTGAAACACTGCATGTTGAGTGACTAGGGAGTGATGGGATTAAGTAGTTAAGAGCAGGCCTCTGTGGTCCCAATGTGCATCCCTGGGAGATGCATAGCTTTAAAGTAGAGGCTGCTCTGTCTTGAGATAGCCACCACGTTTATGCCTTTAACCCTGCGCTAATGTAAATTGCCTCAGACTGCCTGAGTAACTAACATATTAGGCAAGCTGTTTGCTACTAAGTCACAACTAAGATTAAATGAAACATTTTACTGTAATGATAGTGAATTGCATTTTTATTTCTCAAAATGTGTAAGTTTTATGATTTGGCTTTGCTTTTTGGTGTTGCTAGGAATTGCAAATGGGACCTATGTGGGGCAAATATTCTCTGAGCTACCTCACCAACCCCCGGAATATATGGTATAACCATGGGGATGCTGGTGCTCCATCAGATGCTTTTGTCCTTCTCAGTCCCTTAATTTCCTTCAGAAGGAATGACTATTAAATATTTGACTTATTGTGTTCATGGGAGATGTTCTATGTGCATAGAGTTAACCAGTCTGTTCTCCACTGTTGTTGAATGTCTTTTGGGATTTTAGGTTGCCTTGGTTTACCCCAACAATGATCCAGTAATGTTTATGGTGGCTTTTTATGGATGTCTCCTGGCAGAGGTGATTCCAGTACCCATAGAAGTACCACTGACCAGAAAGGTAATATCACTGTGTTAATGTCCTTTGCTGTGATACAGTAGGCACTGGACTGACTCAGTGACACTAGAAGCAATGTGATTGCTGGGCTATGGTGGTGCACACCTTTAATCCCAGCACTCAGGAGGCAGAGGCAGGTGGATCTCTGTGAGTTCGAGGCCAGCCTGGTCTACAGAGCGAGATCCAGGACAGCCAGAGCTACACAGATAGATACTGTCTCAAAAAAAAAAAAAAAAGAAAGAAAGAAAGAAAAAAGAAGCAACATGATCATATTTTTAAATACTCTACTTTCCAAAAACATGAAAGTCGTCAAAAATTATGTAAATAAGAGTGTCAGGTAGATAACACATTTCATCTATGAAAGAATTTTTATAACGTTACCATTTTAAAAACCATAGGAGGCATATATTGAGTGTACAGTGGTTACCATTCATAGGGTGTACCATTCCTTCAGACTCATTTTATCAAGGAATTTCCTTTAACCATTTCACATAACCCAGAATGGCTGAGTGGAAAGGTCATGACGCAGTGGTGGAGGTGAGGGTAGGTGATGACACAGTGGTGGAGGTGAGGGAAGGTGCTGATGCAGTGTTGGAGGTGAGGGAAGATGGTGCAGTGGTGGAGGTGAGGGAAGGTGATGACGCAGTGGTGGAGGTGAGGGAAGGTGATGATGCAGTGGTGGAGGTGAGGGAAGATGGTGCAGTGGTGGAGGTGAGGGAAGATGGTGCAGTGGTGGAGGTGAGGGAAGGTGATGACGCAGTGGTGGAGGTGAGGGAAGGTGCTGATGCAGTGGTGGAGGTGAGGGAAGATGGTGCAGTGGTGGAGGTGAGGGAAGGTGATGGTGCAGTGGTGGAGGTGAGGGAAGGTGATGGTGCAGTGGTGGAGGTGAGGGAAGGTGATGGTGCAGTGGTGGAGGTGAGGGAAGGTGATGGTGCAGTGGTGGAGGTGAGGGAAGGTGATGATGCAGTGGTGGAGGTGAGGGAAGGTGATGGTGCAGTGGTGGAGGTGAGGGAAGATGGTGCAGTGTTGGAGGTGAGGGAAGATGGTGCAGTGGTGGAGGTGAGGGAAGGTGATGACGCAGTGTTGGAGGTGAGGGAAGATGGTGCAGTGGTGGAGGTGAGGGAAGGTGATGGTGCAGTGGTGGAGGTGAGGGAAGATGGTGCAGTGGTAGAGGTGAGGGAAGGTGATGACGCAGTGGTGGAGGTGAGGGAAGATGGTGCAGTGGTGGAGGTGAGGGAAGGTGATGACGCAGTGGTGGAGGTGAGGGAAGATGGTGCAGTGGTGGAGGTGAGGGAAGGTGATGGTGCAGTGGTGGAGGTGAGGGAAGGTGATGGTGCAGTGGTAGAGGTGAGGGAAGGTGATGGTGCAGTGGTAGAGGTGACTGATCCGGAATGGAGAGTTTTGTTCGGACCATGTCAGCCCTGATAGTAAAAATGACAGTGCAGATTTCCACTTAGGTTGGTTTCTCCCTGAGCTGTTTGTTACTGAGAATTGATGTTAGAAGCTAATACGATGGAGAATGTTGATTTATAAGAAAGCAATTTTTTTTTAAGTAATCAACAACTTGGTGGCATTGCTAAAGTTTTAGTTGATGAATAGAGTCTGTTGTTTTATTACTGAGGAAGTCATAAGGTTCTTCTTAAGTTGAGAGTACTTGTATAGTTTCCTAATGTTACTTCGAAGGTGGTGTGTGAACACTTCAGACTTTGCCTTTGGTTGCTTTTGCTGCTATTTAAAGTTAAATCTATTTCCTTTAAAGTAGAAGAATAAAGGAAGATAAGATTTGGTGTAATTGTCTGGAAATAGGCCTTTGATATCCATCTGCGTTATTCATGTTGTTCCGGCCTGGGTAGCTGTCCTCTTAGATCCGAGGGTAGGACTGGGAGAAGAAAAGTGGTAGAGTTTGTCCCCCTTGCTGAGAGCCAGAGCAGGTACAGTGGCTTAGGTGTGTACTCTACAATGTCAGGTCAGAGCAGTGTCTGCTCGTACTCAGGAAACCACCCCAGAAATTATGTGGAGCGTGTTGTCTGGGCTGCCTGGGCTCCACGGCACAGTGGCTATGCTGGAGCATCTCTGGGTGCTGTTGCTAAGCATGGTGTGCTCTTGCTCATTCATGCTCGCATCCTCACTGTGCTCATTCATGCTCACTCACGCTCACACCCTCACTGTGCTCATTCATGCTCACTCATGCTCACACTCTCACTGTGCTCGCTCATTTTCCTCCACAGGATGCCGGAGGTCAACAGATTGGCTTCTTGCTAGGGAGCTGTGGGATTGCCTTAGCTCTCACCAGTGAGATTTGTCTGAAGGGCCTGCCAAAAACTCAGAATGGAGAAATTGTTCAGTTTAAAGGTGAGTAATATGCATACCCAAATTACCAACTGAAAGTCAAACCTAAATACTTTAGTTTTCTTTTTCTTTTTCTTTCTTTTTTACTGCTTTTTTCAAGACAGGGTTTCTCTGTGTAACCCAATCTGTCCGCGAACCCACAGACATTCACCTGCCTCTGCCTCCTGAGTCCCAACTAGTTAGGATTTTAATAGAGTAACAGCTAAGGGCTTCCTGTGTGGTTTTTTGTTTGTTTTTAGTTCTTAGTCATTAGAAATAGGTACAGTAATTACCCTGTTTTTCAGGTAGGAAATTGAGAAACAGAATCCTCAAATCCCAGCTAATAAATGGCCAAGCAGTGGATTGAACCAGTCTGTCTGATTCTGTAGCCACACTCATAACCTTTGGGCTACTGGCCGGAAAGACTGGCTACTCCAGTGTGTATGTTAAAGCCGGGACAGCAGGACCCAAGGCTCCGCAGGCTTCTGTTGACAGACTAGTCTCCCCATTGTTGAGGAGCGCCAAGGCCTGCGTTTGTCATGTGTAACAAGTGCTCTCTTGAAAGAAGCTATAATTGGTGATTTTTCACTAACACCTAATAAAAATTAAGTATTTTATTGATGATGAAATGATCTTAATATGCTCTAGACATTTAAGATGACTAGTTCAGTGTGAAGTCTTTCATTCGTGGCTTAGGCAACTCAATTTTCACTCTGGGTTTGATTTAGGTTGGCCTCGCCTCAAGTGGGTTGTAACAGATTCCAAGTACCTTTCAAAGCCTCCCAAAGACTGGCAGCCCCACATCGCCCCCGCTGGTACAGAACCAGCGTACATTGAGGTAAGTCTGGGGGCTGTGTGTGTTTCCTGACTTTCCTTTAGTTTCAGATACATGTTAATGAATGCTAAGAGAGACATTTCCATTTTGTAGCCTTGTAAACGCCTTATAGTGGACCTTCTGTTGCCATTAACTTTTGAGGCAGAGTCGGAGTTTATTAAGAGAGATTTTAGTAAAGATTTGAAGCATAAGAGTTAAGAGGAAAAGAGGTATCCAGGAAGAAAGTTAAGACACAACCAAGGGCGTGGGCGTGGTCTGTCCCCTGTGCTGGTCACTGTCATCCTAACCGCTCAGTCAGGAGAAGGGAGCTGCAGAAGTCTTGGGAGAAGCACAGATGTGAGAGGTGGCCGACTGGCAGAGGCAAAGAAGTGGAGAAATGAGGGGAAGCAATGAGTTCAGCAGACAGAAAGGAAAGTTCTGAAACACAGATAACTGAGGGCTTGGAGGTTAGGGGACCGTGCCTGGCTGACAGCGGGACTCCTGTCTGCTTGCATAGCTCTCGGGGCTAAGGACTTCCCAGTCATTTCTTCATTCCTGTCAATGCCCAGGGAGATCTCAGCTTTTTTGTTAATTTATTATTTATTTATTTTCCTTTCTTATACTTTTTTTTTTTTTTTTTTTCGAGACAGAGTTTCTCTGTGTAGCTTTGCGCCTCTCCTGGAACTCACTTGGTAGCCCAGGCTGGCCTCGAACTCACAGAGATCCGCCTGGCTCTGCCTCCCGAGTGCTGGGATTAAAGGCGTGCGCCACCACCGCCCGGCCCTTTCTTATACTTTTATTAGTGATTTACTTTTATTATAAAATTAGCGTTGTCAGTTCTGTACAGTATTTTTGATTCACGTTCATCATCTCCCCTGTCTTCCCAGATGTACCCACTTCCCTACCCACCCAAATTTGTGTCTTTTTTTAAAAAACTCAAAAAGTACATGCACATACTCTTGGATGTGTGGCCTTCCACTGGAATGTGGCCAACCTATGGGGAGTTGGGGGCACACCTTTAAGAAGACACTCCCTTTCACCGAACCATCAATTGCCAATAGCTCCTGAGCTGGGCGTGGGACTTGATGCCCACCTTGCCTCTCCATGCTGGGATTTTGTCGGGCTTGAGCTTGAGCAGATCTTGCTCACACTGTAAGTTCACGTGGGCAACTGCCCTGTGTGTCCAGAAAACAGTTTCCACATTGTCACCCACTAGCTCTGATTCTTACTGTCTTCGCACCCACCTCCTCTTCGGCATGACCCTGAGGCTTGGGAGGAGGTGCCGGTTAGGCTGAGTATTCTGCGTCTCCCCTTCTCTGCACCTTGACAATTTTGTGTGAATCTTTGTGTTAATCCCCATGTGCTGCGATGAGAAGCTGTGAATGTGACAATAAGTTACTAGATTTCAACTTGTAAACCTGCCCTACGGGGTCAGGGAGTTGGCTTAGTCGGTAAAGGTGCTTGCCACCAAGCCCAAGGACCTGAGTTCTGTTCCCAAAACTTTCGAGATAGGAGAGAACTGATTTCCACAAGTTGTCCTCTAACCCCACATGTGTATCATGACATATCATGGAGGTGCCCCTCCAATAAATAAATAATATAAAAAAAAAACCCTGCTCTATGGACAAGGAGACGGAACTACAACCTTCGGTAACTGTCCAAAGGTCACATGACTGAAATCCTGTGACTGATGCTGTGCCCTTCACCTCTGTGGCCTCTTAAGACTTGCTCACCAGCTATTTGCTAGATTAATTAGTAAGCACATCCATTAAACTTTTTAAAAGGCTTGGGGTATGGTAATACTGAAATCTTTTGTAATAACAAGTATGAATAAAATTTGAGATAGCTTTGGCCACGAAAGAACAGGGTGGAGAAACTGTTGACTGCAGAGAGGAGAGAGCGGAGTGTGTCTGAAAGACAGTCGAGAGGAGAGAGACCGTTCACTGGTGAGGCTTCTCACCTCACTCCCCTCCGGACACTGGAGCTGCCGGCCGAGGTCGGCCCTTTACCACGCAGCCCTCCGTAGCACCCTGGCCTCATGTAGGATCCACTTGCGTGAGAGCCCCGTGTTCCCACAGATTCTCCGATTGTGTTGGAAACGATTAAAGGGCTGTCAGTAGGCGGGAAGTAAGAACGGCTTTATTATATAAAAAGGTTTATGGGGCAGCTGGACGGCTCGGCAGGTAAGACCTCGCCGCTGGGGCCTGACAAGTTTGACCACAACATTCGCATAAAGTCGGGAGGAGAGAACCAACGCCACAGCGCTGTCCCCCAACCTTACACGTGTGCTGCGGCATGTATGTGTGCTCCCCCACACCATACAAACATAATAGCGTTAAAAACGCAGATTTATGTCGACTGGCTGGGTTATAAAGGGAGCAGTAGGTTTTAGGGTTTTGTTGTTTTTTCCTCTAAATTTTATGTGTGAATGTTTCACCAGTGTCCCTAAGTGGACCGTGTGCATGCAGTTCCTACAGAGTCCAGAAGAGGGCATTAGATCCCCGGAACCGAAGTTCTAGACAGTTGTGAACTGCTATGGAGGTGCTGGGCACTGAACTGGGTCCTCTGTAAGAGCAGCCAGTGCTCTGATGAGCCATCTCCCCAGCCCTGACCTGCTTAAACAAAAGCTTCTGAGCTGGAGAGATGGCTCAGTGGTTAAGAACACTAGCTGCTCTTCCAGAGGAAGAGTTCAAGTTGTTGTTGGTTTTTTTTTTTTGTTTTGTTTTGTTTTTTTGTTTGTTTTTTTTTTGTTGTTTTTTTTTTGGTTTTCTTGAGACAGGGTTTCTCTGTGTAGCTTTGCACCTTTCCTGGAACTCACTTGGTAGCCCAGGCTGGCCTCGAACTCACAGAGATCCACCTGGCTCTGCCTCCCGAGTGCTGGGATTAAAGGCGTGCGCCACCACCGCCCGGCCGATGAACAGTCTTAATTCACATGGTGGCTCACAACGGTCTAACTCCAGTTCTAGGTGATCTGGCACCCTCACACAGACATACATGCAGGCAAAACACCAATGCACATAAAATAAAAATAAATCTTTTTTTAAAAAGTTATTGGAGTGAGCCAGAGCTCATGGAGATGGGTAGGGTTAGAACACCATAGGGGAGTTGAATACGCCAGATTTAGCTACTGATCCCGAAGAGAGAGAAGGCAAGAAACACTTAGATTCCTGATTTGGGCACCTGGATGAATTGGGGCACCGGATGAAACCGAATCCTTCAGTTAAATAGAAAATACAGGAAGAGTCAGGCAGTGTGTGGTGCACGCCTTTAATCCCAGCACTCAGGAAGTAGAGGAAAGCAAATCTCTGTGAGTTCCAGGACAGCCTGGTCTACCTAGTGAGTTCTAGGATAGCTAGGGCTTCCTAGTGAGACCCTGTCTCAGAAAGAAAGGAAGAAAACACAGAGAGAGTTCTCCTGGGTGGAGGTGGGGGATGGGATGGAGCGTTGGTGGCAGCATGCTTCCCAGTGACAGGAGGCACTCCAGCAGGGTGCTGGGGTCCGGGTCTCTGAAGGAGAGGCTGGGTGGACACAGAGCCAGGAGTCAAGCCGAGATGAAACACCTGATGGCATGAGGAGAGGAAGGAGGGGGATTCTCACGAGTGCCAGCATTGAAGGCATAGTCAGAGATGATTGTGGGTAAGATAGCTCCCGAGAGTCTGAGACAGGAGCATTGCCACAAGTTGCAGGCAAGCCTGGGCTACATTGTGAGACACCTTGTCTGAGAAAGGGAGAGAAAAACAACTCCGAGATGGTCAGAGTGATGAGAAGGAGAGACCAGGAGCCACGGGAGCGAAGGAAGTTAGATGGGCAAAGACCTGTCGGGTAACTTGTACAGCCACCTCTGTGATGTGACGTCCGAAGGCTGCAGCCTGGATGGCACTGATGACAAAAGCAGGGACACCGTCTACAGGAGTGAGGGGGGGCCTGCTGCCAGCTGAGGTCCCATGTCTTCTTGGTTTGGTATTCCTGTGGGACTAGGGGATCAAACCAGTGTCTTACACAGCTCGGTGGGCACTCTACCACTGAGCAGCCCCCGAGGAACAGCTGTACTGGGCATCATGCTTCTGTTCACACAGCTCAGTCACTTGGCCTCAGTGGTTTTGGTGACTACGTCATATTGATGAACAACTAAACTTTGGAGTCATTTTGTGCACGCTCCAGCCAGGCTTCATTGTCCCCCAGTCTTGGCTGTTTAGCTGGAGTTTGGGATCCAAGTGCAAAGCCTTAAATGTTCCTATTCAGCATGTAAAGTTAAGCCCACCGTCTTGGTTTATGTGGGTTTCGGTTCGGCTCTGAGTTTTGTCGGTTATGACAACCCATCTTACCGTGCTTCTAAGTTTGTTTTCTCTCTCTCTAGTATAAAACAAGCAAGGAGGGGAGTGTGATGGGGGTCACAGTGTCCCGGCTCGCCATGCTGTCTCACTGCCAAGCTCTGTCCCAGGCCTGCAATTACTCGGAAGGTCAGACCTCAGCCCGTGACTGCTCTCATTGTTAGCTCCACATTCGTGTGCCTGTGAGCGCCCACTTGGTGACTGGACTCCATTTAATGACCAAATTCAGGTGGAAATGTTCCAGAACACATTCTTGGCTTGCTTTTGCCTTCTTTAAGAAAAAAAAAAAAAATCTGTAATTTAAATAAACTTCTGGACAAACCAGATCTATGAAGTCTGATTTCTGAAGTGCAGAAATAGAAAACCTCCATTAACCATGTGTTTTGTTCTGTGGGGCTTAGATGTCGCCATCTTCCCATGTGGAGCTTCCAACTAAGTATTGGTCCAAAGGTGCAAATTAAAACAGAAAACCTTCTGAACTAGATGATGTGGTCCACAGCTGTAGTCCCGACACACTGACACAGGCAGGAACAGTGTCAGTTTGAGGCCAACCTGGGATACATAGTGAGTTCCAGGCCAGCCTGAGCTATGGTATGAGATGAGACCCTGTCTCAAAAAGAAAAAAGAGTGTAAACCTTTTGGTATATAAATATATATTGCGTAATTACAGTCAAAGCAGGCTGGCCTCCACCTCAAGCCCCTTTGTGCCCAAATCATGGGCCTGGGCTGCCAGATCTGGCTTCAGCATGTACTTCCAGATGTTCTTGGTAACATTCATTTTTCAGTATTTTATTTCCCTTTGTAGAGTGAAGGGTGACTGTGTGCATTTCAAAGCAACATTTTTATCTGATTTTAAGTATGTGCATATGCATGTATGAGAAGAATCATAATGCCACAGACAGGGTCCAGTTCCAGTACGTTCATTCAAAGGGTCTGCCCTGGGGTACTGAGACTCAAGCTCCTGAGTATTAGAAATATAGAGAAATTTATCCTAGAGTGAAAACAATTAAATGCAGCCTTATGTGTACCTGTTTTATTTTGTTGTTAACCTATCTATAGATACACCTAGAAATGGGCATCTGTATACATGGGGTTTTATATAGAACAATATTTCATGTTTTTCAAAGAAGTATAATTTTTACATATATTTGTGAAAATTCAAGTTTCTTAAGCCAATACTTGTTCCTTATTTCACTAGGAAAAAACTCTTGAATGATGCCCCTAAATGCTAAAGAGTTTCTGCCTTAGTGTCTCTGTAATGGCCACATCACCCTGTCACCTTCCTCCAGCCAGTTTGTAGGGGTCTCAGCAACCAGAGACTCTGATCTCCTAATTGTTTTTCAAAAGGAGCATGAATGTGGTTGTCATTTCCTGCTCAGCATGACCTCCTCTTGTTTCCCTCCATCTTCTCTTTTCTAGGAGAGGCCGTAGTAAATGTTTTAGACTTCAAGAAGGATGCTGGGCTGTGGCATGGCATGTTTGCGGTAAGCTGTAGGGGTGGGGCCTTTATATTAAGATGTGCCTGAGGCCGAGGCTCTGTGACAAGTGCATCTCTTGGGGTTGCAACTGAAGCTCATAAATGTCAGTGACATTTTCTAGAGGACACGTAAGCGTGGGGACCTGAGCTTAGATCCCCAGGATCCATGAAAAACAGGTACAGTAGTGCACATCTGTGATTCCAGTGTGAGATGATTGGAGGCAGAGGATACAGTAGTGCACATCTGTGATTCCAGTGTGAGATGATTGGAGGCAGAGGCAGGAGAATCCCCTAAAACTTATCCCAGGAGTCTGATGTAGTAGTGAGTGGTGAATAGCAAGAGACCCTGCCTTGGGCTGGAGAGGTGGCTCAGTGGTTAAGAGCACTGGGTGCTCTTGCAGAGGACCTGAATTCAGTTTCTTGTACCTACATCAGGTCGATTACAACCACCTGTGATTCCAGAGAAGGAGAAGCGGGGGTAAATTAATTTAAATTGAATAAAAGAGGCCCTGCCGGATTCAAGGACCAATGCCCAAGGTTGTCATCTGACCTTCACACTCACAGCATGGCACACGGGTCCACAGCCATACATGAACACTCATGGACACACATCATGTATACACACAGTAAGAAAAAAGACAAAACTACATGCTTCGAGCACGGAAGAGAGTAACAAGGGGGGGTGCTTCCTGTAATAGGAGGAGGGAGCGCGCTGTGGGTGTCAGAAGGATGGCGTCTTTCTCATCCCGTCATCCGGGAGTGTCCATGAGGAGGTGACAGCCAAGGTGGACTTTGGAAATAGCTAAGTTGACCTAGGTAGAGATTTTTGGTGGGTAGAATTGGAAGGGTTTATTTCTTTGGGAAAACTACATATATAAGATGCCATTTAGGTGGAAAGAAAAGTATGGGACCATGAAGTTGAAAAGGACTTCAGTCTGTTTACTCTTTTTTTTGTTTTTAATTAGAAGTTAACAAAACAAATAAAAACTATGTTCTGAGAAGGGATCTTCTGTAATCCAGTGCAGATAGAACATTGTTTTCCTGACACTGAGTCTGTGCCAGCACTAGGACTTGAGGGCAGGGGATGGTACCTTGTATGGAAGGGCATGTAAGTGGTGGCAGTGTGGTTGATCTCAGGCTTAGTTGGGGATGGTGGCTGATATTTATAATCCTAGCACTTGGGTGACTGAGCAGAAGAATCGCCAGGAGTTCAAAGCTAGTCTGGGATACTCCAATTCCAAGCCAGGTAGAACCATCTTAAACACACACGCACATGCACACACAGACGCACACACACACACCGCATCCATTACCAACACTGGCTTGATTACTCTGTTGCACTACGTCTCTGGGGATCTCACATCCTTGATGTGGATGGGCAGGAGGACAGCGACCTGCCTGACCCTCAGTTCTGTCAGCTTTCTCTGTACAAACACTTGACCTGTTAGGAACTGGGGAGCTAATCTTGTGCTTTATAGTGCTGCTCCATTGTCAGTCCTTCCCTCAGCCTGTGGTGTGTGGTAAGCAGGACTGCCATAGAGCACCGGGTAGTGCCTGCTAACTCTCTGAAAGCAGCAACTTTGTGACCCAGCAGGGCTTCTCTTCTATGTCTACCTTAAGGAAACAGTTGTGCACATGCTAGTGGATGTGAATCCAGATGCCTTGATTCCACACTGGTTATGACATGTGCAGCCGTACAAAGGGAACTGGTAGCCCCCTGATTCTGAGGTGCATAGACTTATATATGAAACAGTAGAAGTGAAAAGCAGCAAGTGGTTAATACATGTATCTTGTGGTGGCTTGCATTTAAATACTTTGTGTTTCTAAAGTCACTTGTGTATGCACATGCGTGGACAAAGGACTGGAGGGATAGGTATCATCATTGTGATGCCCTGGGAGAGAGAGGAGAGAACCAGGGTTAGAGCAGCTCTTAGAGGTGCTTTAGCACTATTGCTGGTATCTCGTCGTTTTGGAAAGGGTGGACTTGAGTAATACCTCTATAACATTGTTAGCAGAATGTCAGCACAACAAAAGGTGCTAAACACATGTTTTGTGTTAACCGCTTCGATGTCTCTTTGCTTTTCAGAATGTAATGAATAAGATGCATACAATTAGTGTGCCCTACTCGGTTATGAAGACCTGTCCTCTCTCTTGGGTCCAAAGAGTCCATGCCCACAAAGGTAATCACACACATCCACATGCTAATTGAGACTGGTGGAAGTATGCCCCTGTAGAGAAACAGTTCTTTGCCTTGGTGGCTCTCCAAATTTTGGAGTTGTTATTGTAGGTAAGCTGTTTGCTTTATCTCCCTGTATTCTTTCTTACAAATTGAATTCTCTGGAATTTGAGCCATAGTTAGCTCTATTGAATGCTGTGTTGTCCGAGTTTCCTTGACTGTGCAGTGGCTGAATATGATGCTTGCTTACCCAGAGGTTCACACAGTCTTTTTTAAACTTTAAAAATTTTCTCCAACTGAGAACTATTACTAAATAAGTAAAAATGTTCTTACTGTAACATATTGATTCTGTGCCCACACTTAGCGTGTCTGTGTGTCGTAACTCTTCCCCTTTGATCTATAGCCAAAGTGGCTCTCGTGAAGTGTCGGGACTTACACTGGGCCATGATGGCCCATCGGGACCAGAGGGACGTGAGCCTGAGCTCTCTCCGGATGCTGATTGTCACCGATGGCGCCAATCCCTGTGAGTGCTGGGGTAGAAGTCCCAGAACATCTGACAAGCAGCATGATCTGCTCCTTTTCTATAAGCTTTTCTGTTTTCAGCATCTGTGTTGAGATGTCATTTACAAGTGACGGCACTTGTCCGTTTCAAGGGTCTGATTCAGTGGTGCGGTGTGTTTGTGGCTGTGCGGTTATCACCATGACTGAAGTTTCAAATACTTGTGTTAACCTAAGAGAAACCACACACTCACTGTTGCTGTTCATCCTCTCCAGTGTCCTTCAGCCACAGACAGTCATGAATTTCCTTCCTCTAAGGAAAAAAAAAAAAACAGATTTAAAAAATGATTGTGTATGTTTGTGTGTGTGTGTGTGTGTGTGTGTGTGTGTGTGTGTGTGTGTATGCGCACATGCCCCATGTGTTCAGGTTCCTTCAGAGCCCAGAAGAGGGTGTCCGACCCTCTGGTTGTGACACTGGGGCTGGCAGCAGGACTTGGGTCCTGAGGAAGAGCAGCAAGCGCTCTTGAGCTGCTCTCACACCTCCAGCCCCCACACGGTCTGTAGTCCGCCTGCTCTACACACTCGGTGTGAGGCGGCCTCGTGTGTGGCGAGAGGCTTCTCTCAGTGGTGTGTTTTGCATTTGTCAGAATCCTTTACATTAGCATGTAGAGCATCATAGACACACCACATTTGTTTATCCATTCATCTCTTGATGGACTTATAAGCTCTTTGAAACCACGCCTTACTCATTTGAATCCTCCATGGGAGGCTCTTAGGTGAAAGGAGAGGTTTGGACTTGACTTGATATGTATATGAACTTGGTGTAAATTCTTCCATGCAGCAAATAAAGGGAATTTGCAAGAACTTGTAGAGACCTTAGTGTGCTATCTGTTTTTCTGGATAAGCTGGTCCTCCACTGGGTACTTGAGGGAGCACTGGAAGCTGAACTCTTTCTCCTAAGTGAATTTACTCGTCATCCTGCCCTCAAGCACATGGAGAATGTATACAGGAAGAGTCAGAGAACATCACCGAGAGCGGATGGGGCCGCACGGCTGCGTTGCTCTGGCTGCAGTAGATACTTAGGAGGGTGGCTAGAGCCCGCCTGGCTGCATGTCAGCCACAGCGTTTTCTCTGAGCTTGCCCTGTCACGTTGGTGGGTGTAGTCTTTCCAGACTGACTCTAAGTACTGTCAGGGACCTGTCATGTGTTGGATGAATGTGTCTCAAGCCCCTCACAGGCACAGTAAACCTTTTGCACACGATGAGTGACGTACAGTGTGAGTTCTGACAGACAGCTGTGCCACACACACCCATTAGTCCATGTGTCTCACACACCCGTTAGTCTGTGTGCCACACACACCCGTTAGTCCGTGTGTCACACACACCCACACACCGTTGGTTTGTGTGTCTCACACACCCATTAGTTTGTGTCTCACACACCCATTAGATTCCTGAAGCAAGGGAATGGTGGTTTCAGCTATTAAACTGATCCTTTCCCACGCCTTAGGGTCTGTGTCATCTTGTGATGCTTTCCTGAGTCTGTTCCAAAGCCACGGACTGAGACCTGAGGCCATCTGCCCATGTGCCACGTCTGCCGAGGCCATGACTGTAGCCATCCGCAGGTACCGTTCATGAGGTCGGGTGCTCTTGGTGTCTGGCACAGCCTGTATGAGATGTGTGCTTTTTTCCAGATGATGAGAAAGGAGTTAAATGATTTTCTGCTTCATAAACCTAAAAGTTGGGGCTGGAGAGATGGCTCAGCAGTTTAAGAGCACTGTCTACTGTTCCAGGGGACCTGGGTTCAATTCCCAGTACCCACATGGCAGCTCACACCTGTCTGTAACTCCAGTTCCAGGGCTTCTGACCCCGTCACACAGACATACATGCAGGCAAAACACCAGTGAACATAAAATAAAAATAAATTATTAAAAAAATACCTAAAAGTAAAATTTCCCTAGTAAAGTCATTTCAGACATCTCATTATTTTTTTCTTCTTGCCAGAAGTATACCTAGAAGCTGAAATTTTATTTTAATTATTCTATGTCATATTTGTGAGTTATTTTTCTGTGTTGTTTACTCTTCAGAATCCCTTGAGTAGTAAGTAGAAGTAGTCTGTTCTTGTTCTGATTGTACCTCAGACATGGGAAATATGCCTTATAGTATATACATTCCACACCAGCATAGTCTTTTCTCTTTAAAGAAAAGTGTGTGTGTGTGTGTGTGTGTGTATCTGCAGACACCTGAATCGAGGTGGGCAGGGTGCTTATGAGCAGATACCAGAAGAAGGTGTCAGGGTCCGATCACTCCCTGCCTGTTCCTCCTGGGCGGGGTCCCCCTGAGGCTCGCATCTTGGCTAGGCTGCCAGCTGACAGGCCCCAGTGACCCTCTGGCCTTTGCGCCCTTGACCTGGGTTTGTAGGCGTTTGGGGATCCCGGCTTGTTACATGGCATGCTGGGACCCAAACTCTGCTCTCCTCATGCTGATCACTATAGCTAGAGTTTTCCTGCCTGGCCCACAGTCAGGACAAATCTCTGATACCCGCAAGTCCCACAGCCGCTCAGACCCAACCAAGTAAAAACAAAGACTTATATTGCTTACAAACTGTATGGCCGTGGCAGGCTTCTTGCTAACTGTTCTTATAGCTTAAATTAATCCATTTCCATTAATCTATACTGTAGCTAGAGTTTTCCTGCCTGGCCCACAGTCAGGACAAGTCTCTCTCACCTGCCAGTCCCACAGCCACTCAGACCCAACCAAGTAAACACAGAGACTTATATTGCTTACAAACTGTATGGCCGTGGCAGGCTTCTTGCTAACTGTTCTTACAGCTTAAATTAATCCATTTCTATAAATCTATACCTTGCCACATGGCTCGTGGCTTACCGGCATCTTCACATGCTGTTTCTCATCGTGGCGGCTGGCAGTGTCTCTCTGACTCAGCCTTCTACTTCCCAGCTTTATTCTCCTCCTTGTCCCGCCTACACTTCCTGCCTAGCCAATGGCCAATCAGTGTTTTATTTATTGACCAATCAGAGCAACACATTTGCCATACAGAACATCCCACAGCACTTCCCCCCCCCCTTTTTTTTCCCGAAAGGAAGGTTTTAACCTTAACAAAGTAAAATTACATATAATTTGGGAATTTGGGCGTAGCCTCTCTTACTACTTCCTGCTGGAGGGGGGCGCTGTATCTTATGGGGATACAAAGAAAATTTTAGGATTATGGAATAGTCCATGAGGCTGTATCGTCTGAGCCAGTTGCCTTGAAACCATTCTGGATGTTGGATCATCTGGGCCATGGTGTCATCGGAGACCTTTCAGGGGGTCTTGGCTGGTCAAACCTGATGTATCTTAATCTTGAACAAATCCATAGCCTCTCACTTTCTGTGGGAACAAAAGAGGCTCTTTTCCAAAGCAACATATCCTTATATCCAAATTTTGAAGTCAAGGTATCTTTAAAATGTACATTTTGGCATAACTCAACAGCTTTTACAATCAAATGTTTTTCTGCAGTTAAAAATCCCAAAGACAACACAATCCAGATTCTCTGTGTAATACTCATCTTTACGTGGCTTATTTTTTATATTAATTTTACTGTCTCTTTAAAGACTTTATTTTTTAAAGCTATGTATTTGTTTATATAACTTTATATATCACCGTTTTTGTCTCTTTCAAGCCTACGTATATTTTACACACATTGTAAACTATTACATCTGAATCTGTCTTATTGTGAATCTATTGCTTTAAACTGCAGCAGCTGTGGCTGCTGGCTCCGCCCACCTCAGCTTCCCAGCACGGCGGTGGTTTACCACGAGCTCTGGGAGCTATCGTGGGTCTATGCTTTTATCCAAGCAGCATGTAGTCCAGAAACCTCTTTTTTTGTTTTGTACCAGCAAAGGCTAAATCCACCATGCAGCTTAATGTGCCACTTGCAGAGGCCTCATTCCCGCCATACTGCAGGTCAAGCATGCACACCAGAAACCCACAAGGATCTCAAACCAGCAGCTGCCACTCATTTGAGAGAGACAATTAGGAACTGTTTTTAGCTCCGTTTTAGAATCTTTTTTCTCAGTTTTTAGGTGGAAACTCTTGCCCCACGTTGGACGCCATTTGTAGCTAGAGTTTTCCTGCCTGGCCCACACTCAGGACAAATCTCTCTCACCTGCCAGTCCCAAGCCGCTCAAATCCGATCAAGTAAACACAGAGACTTATATTGGTTACAAACTGTATGGCCATGGCAGGCTTCTTGCTAACTGTTCTTACAGCTTAAATTAATCCATTTCTATAAATCTATACCTTGCCACATGGCTCGTGGCTTACCGGCATCTTCACATGCTGTTTGTCATCGTGGTGGCTGGCAGTGTCTCTCTGACTCAGCCTTCCACTTCCCAGCTTTAGTCTCCTCCTTGTCCCGCCTACACTTCCTGCCTAGCCACTGGCCAATCAGTGTTTTATTTATTGACTAATTAGCAACACATTTGCCATACAGAACATCCCACAGCAGATCACCTCTCCATCTCTCTCTCCACCCTTTTCTCTTCCTTTTTTTTTTTCTTTTTTTTTGGAGACAGACTCTCACTGTGTAGCCCAGGCTGTCCTAGAACTTGCAGTGATCCACCTGCCTCAGCCTCTCAAGTACTGAACTGCAGCATGAGCCACCATGCCTGGCTTTTTGTTTTTAATTTCCTCAAAAATTATTTATTTACCTGTGTGCATGTGTGCGTGTATATGCACGTGTTTGTGCACACATACCACAGCAGGTGTGTGTGGTCAGAGGACAACCTGGTGGAGTCGATTCTCTCCTTCTACATGTGGACCTGGGGATCAAACTCCAGTCATCAAGCATGCATAGCAGGTGTCTCTACCCACTGAGCTATCTGGTCAGCCCCTCGTGTTCTTTCCTGTTTGCTGGTGTGTGTGTGTGTGTGTGTGTGTGTGTGTGTGTACACCTGGCTCGATAGTTTATTGTTGCTTTGTTCACATTTAGGCCTGGAGTTCCGGGGGCTCCCTTACCAGGAAGAGCCATTCTCTCAATGAATGGATTGAGCTATGGGGTCATACGGGTCAACACTGAAGATAAAAATTCAGCACTGACAGTCCAGGATGTGGGACATGTGATGCCTGGGGGTGAGTTGTGAGGGGCGTCATTGGGATTTCCTAAGATTTGTCATCAGAAATAGTGGCGCTGCACCAGGAAGGAAGGCAGCTTGTGGTGGGATGCCTGCCTGGCACGTACGCCCAGAGCCCTGGCTTCCGTGCCCAGCACCACGTAACGAGGGAGAACTAGAGGAGAGACAGATGAATGAGAGGCCAAATCTGGAAGTCCCAGTTCGCTGCTTAGTCACACCCTCTCCTCCTCGAGCCTCCGCAGCGGGGGAGGGGGTCGTTATGCCGGCCCTGCACTGATGCTGTGTGAGTTTCCAGTCTCAAACACGCCTGATTACGCTCTTCACGTGGAAAGGGATGCCACTCAGTTGCCAACCCAGGAAGGCAGAGCGTGCTGCCCTGGTGGGTGCCACACCAACCCTTCGGAAGGCCAGCACCCACTTCATCACGAGGCTGCTGCAGTCCCTCCTCGGTGTACCAGTGACTCAGGGCTGTCGGTACCAGGTCGACTTCGCAGGTTTATGGTTCTCTGTGGCACTTCTTAATGCTACTTCAGTGAGTGTGCCACTCCTGGGTTTGAAAACAAAGTTGTTACTTTGCAGGTTTCTAGACTCTATGGTTTTTGTGTTTTCTGTGCATTAGGCATGATGTGCATTGTGAAACCAGACGGACTTCCTCAGCTCTGCAAGACCGATGAAATTGGGGAGATTTGTGTCAGCTCCAGGACTGGAGGAATGATGTACTTTGGACTTGCTGGTGTGACCAAAAATACATTTGAGGTACATGATGTTATTTCACGGGGAGATGTTGGGTGAGGTCAGCTGTTACTGGGGAGCCCTGCTAGCTGACGGCACAGAATGGTTTAGTGGTTGAGATCAAGTCTTCTGGGGCCCAGTGCCTAAGGTCAGGTTGTCTCCACCACTCACTGCTGCTTTGGGAGGCACTTAGCCTTCTGAGTGCCCTGTTCCTTTATCTTAAGATATGAGTGACAACCAGACATGGTGGCTAGCACTTGCAGTCACAGCACTTGGGAACCTGGGGTCAGGGGACTGTCAAGACCAACCTGGACTGTATAACGGGACCTTGTTTCAAAACACGCAAAAGCAGAACAAAATGTGAATAGTCACAGAGTCACCTGTTTGGAACACTAAATGAATTGATATTTACTCATGGATTGGGTCAGCTTCTGGCACAGAGGCAGTGGTGTGGTGTGTCTGTGAGTTCAAGATTTTGACTCTGAGAGTGCTGTGACAATTGTACTTGCTGCGTCACATCACTGAGAGCACCTGCCATGGAAGCACGAGAGCCCAGGTTGAGATCCCCAGAAGCCCCGCATGCGTGGCAGCTGCCCTAATCCCCAGGCAAGCTGCTCAGCCAGACTGGCAGTCTCGGCGGTGTGCATTCAGCAGAAAATGTACCTGAGTGAGGAAGACGGTCACATGTGTGTGCACTTGTGCACATACAGAAAGACTTGACTTGTTACAGGGTCACCGCTCCTCAAGCAGCTGCTTACTGATTCCTCTCTTGTACCTGCACTGCTCTGGGTGCTGGGGCTCTATCAGGACAAGTGGAGCTGCTGGAAAATGCAGTGCCTCTAGAGGAGGCGGCATTTTCCAAGGAGACAGTTCATGGCCTTCCTGTAGGCACTCTGCCTGCAGGGCTAAGTTGTAATGAGAAGTTGCCCTGGTGAGCCTGCACATTAGAACAAGTGGTTAATTGTCTGGGATACCTTTTAGGGACCGGAGAAATTTTGTTGATGGATTGTGGCTCCCTTATACTAGTCAGGGCCAGCAGGTATTGTTCAAATCTTAAATGGTCTTTAATAAAAAAAGCCCAGAGCCAGATATCAGGGTGAAAGCTGAAAGATCAGAGAAGCAGAACAGCCAGCCACTAGTTCCTACCTCTAAAAAATCCTCAGCCTAAAGAGAGTGAGTTCTAGTTTCCTCACACCTTATATACCTTTCTCTGCCCAGACATTACTTCCTGGGATTAAAGGCGTGTGTGCTTCCCAGTACTGGAATTAAAGGTGTGTACCACCATTGCCTGGCTCTGTTTCCAGTGTGGCTTTGAACTCACAGAGATCCAGAGGATCTCTGCCCCCCCCCCCTCCCGCCCCCAGTGGCTGGCTCTGTCCTCTGATCCTCAGGGAAGTTTATTAGGGTACACAATATGTCACCACAAGCAGGAGTCCTGCTGACTGCCAGCTCTGAATTGCCCGTTCTGTAACAGCCTCCCTTTGGTAGGGAGTCTGCAAACATCGGAAGCTGCATTTCCACACTATCTGGAAACGGGTGCATACGATTGTACACTAGCTGTCACTGGTGAGCGTGCCTTCTCCCGTGTGACAGTGCATCTGTGCTGTCTGTCATGTGCTGCCGGATGGGGGTTGAGAACAGGGCTGACCATCGTGTTCACAGGCCTGGAGCAGCACAGTGTAGACCTGTCACTGTCCCCAGCACCTTCGCTCTTGTGCCCTCAGAGGTGTCCCCATTCACTCCGCAGGAGTGGAAGCTGGTAGGTTCCCGGGTGTGTTCAGCACCAGTCCCTCGGTTACTCACTGTCGTCTTCAGTATATGTACGTTTTCTTTTCCTAAGTCTCTCCATTCATTCTTCCCCTTCTTCCCAGGTCGGGCATTCAGCACAAGTCCTTGTGCGTGCTAAGCACACACTCTGCTACTGAGCTGCCTTCTCAGTCCCAGTTTTTCCTTCTTTAAAATTTGTTTTTAGACAGTATCTCCCCTTGTATCCCAGATTGGCCCCAAACTCTTGGAGATTCTCCTGCCTCAGCCTTCTGAGTTGCTGGGATTATAGGTGTGACCCACCATACCCAGATTCTGTTTCTAAAGAGTTTTTAAAAACGTTTGCTTGTTTGTTTGTTGTGTGTCTGTGTGCAGGAGCACGTGTGTGCGTGTGGAGGTCAGAAGACAGCTTGCAGTAGTTTGTTCTCTTCTACCATGTGGGTTCTGGGGACCCAGCTCAGGTCATCAGACCCACTGCTTGACTCGGGTCAACCCACTGAACCCTCGCCAGCCTGGCTTGTTCTTAAGTGCTTGACTAGATCTGTCTCGTGCTTGCGTGGCTTGTCATTGACTCTTTCTCACGGAAAATAAGATCCTTGCTGTTTGAGACGGTGTCTCATGAGTAGTCTGACTAGCCTCAGACTTGTCATCCCCCTGCCTCAGTCTCTTGAGAAGCTGGCGTTATAGGCACATGCCTCTGCTTCAAGCAGAATTGTATTATTGTATGTATATGAGAGAAAGGGAGAGAAATGGGGGCATAAGAGATTGCTACAGCTGCGTGTGTGTGGAGGTTAGAGGACAGACAACTTGGCGGTCAGTTCTCTCCTTCCATGTTGTTGTTAATTTAAAAAATTATGTATACGTGTATAGGTATTTTGCCTGAATGTGTGTCCATGTACCAGGTACATGTTTGGTGCCTTTGGAGGCCGGAAGAGAGAGTTGGAACCTCAGGACTGGAGTTCCTGGGAGCTACCATGTAGGTGCGGGGAGTCAAGCCCAGGTCCTCTGCAGGATGAACCAGTGCTCTTAACCAGCCCCTGCTCCCCTTTGCGTAGCAGGGCCTCTCTTGTTCCTGCTGCAATGTGTATTTCAGGCTAGCTGGCCACGTGGACTCTGTGGCCCTGCCTCACTCTCCTACCTTCCTGCAGCAGCTCTGGAATTACAGATGTGTAAGGCTGCATCTGGCTCTTGATGTAGGGTCCGAGACAGACTCAGGTTGTCAGGCTTGCAGTACCTTGGCCTCCTGAGCCATCGTGCAGGCCTTCCGGCAGTGTTTGGAGATAGTACAGGCAGCTGTGTGCCTAGAGTTCTTACACGCTTTTGGTGGTGCGTGCAGGACCGGCCAAGTGCAGTACTGCTGAGATGCATCCCCAGCCCATGAACACGTTTTGATCTCCAGTCTAAATAGAGTGATAGCAAAGTAGAATGAATCCTCACCTGAAAAACGAGAAAATAGTGGTGGCGGCGGTGCACGCCTTTAATCCCAGCACTCCGGAGGCAGAGGCAGGCGGATCTCTGTGAGTTCGAGGCCAGCCTGGTTTACAGAGCAAGATCCAGGATAGCCAAGGCTACAAGGAGAAACCCTGTCTCAAAAACAAAAGGGGGAGGGGGCCAGTAGGCAGGTGAGATGGCTTAGCAGATAAAGGTACCTGCTGCCAACCCTGATGAACAGACTTCAATCCCTAGAAATCACAGTGGATGAAGAGAACCTCTCACAAGTTGTCTTCCAACCTTTATAGGAGTACTGTTGCACACATGCACCCATACACACATGTACACATATACTCACAATAAAGTAATAAAAATATTTCTAAAGGGTAAAAACTACTTCCTTTGTTTTGTAAATGTAATTAGTATTTTACTAAAGTCAGATATTTAAATTCTGAGAATTTTCCATAGTTAACATTTTACTAGGACAAGACTATGGTAATGATAAACCAGAAAATTAATGAATGTATTTAAAAAATACACTGAGCCAGACAGTGTTAGCACACACCTTTAATCATGACACTCAGGAAGGAGAGGCAGGCAGATCTTTGTGGGTTCGAGGCCAGCCTGGTGTATAGAGCAAATTCTGGGACAGCCAAGGCTATACTGAGAAACCCTGTAGCTAGAGTTTTCCTGCCTGGCCCACAGTCAGGACAAATCTCTCTCACCCGCCAGTCCCACAGCCGCTCAGACCCAACCAAGTAAACACAGAGACTTACATTGGTTACAAACTGTATGGCCGTGGCAGGCTTCTTGCTAACTGTTCTTACAGCTTAAATTAATCTATTTCTATAAATCTATACCTTGCCACATGGCTTGTGGCTTACCGGCATCTTCACATGCTGTTTGTCATCGTGGCGGCTGGCAGTGTCTCCTTCTGCCTTCCTGTTCTTTCTTTTCTCCTCTCTGTTAGTCCCGCCTATACTTCCTGCCTAGCCACCGGCCAATCAGTGTTTTATTTATTGACCAATCAGAGCAACACATTTGCCATACAGAACATCCCACAGCAAAACCCTGTCTCGAAAAACCACAAAATAAAGAAACAAATAAATAAACTAAGAGTCAGGCAGTGGTGGCGCACACCTTTGATCCCAGTACTCATGAGGCAGAGGCAGGTGAATCTCTCTGAGTTTCAGGGCAGCCAGGGCTACACAGAGAAGCTCGCTGCTGCTGCTGCTGCTGCTGCTGCTGCTGCTGCTGCTGCTGCTGCTGTTGCTGGTGGTGGTGCTGGCGGTGCTGGCGGTGCTGGCGGTGGTGGTGGAGATGGCTTGGTGGTTAAGAACACTGGCTGCACTTGTAGAAGATATGAGTTTGGTTCCCAATGCCCCATAGCAGCTCTCTGTCACCTGTAACTTGAGTTCCAGCAGATCCAGTGCCCTCTTTTGGCCTCTGCGGGCATTGACATACATATGGTACACAATACATCCCAGCACACAATGCTAACACATAGTATATCTAAGATATATTGTGAAAGGTCTGTTAGCAATTGTGTGTGTATGTGTGTTGCATATATATACATATATGTATATATCCTTATTTTTTAATATTTTCCTTAATTTATGTATATGTGATATATGCCTGTGTGTGTGTGTGTGTGTGTGTGTGTGTGTGTGTGTGTGTGTTCATGTGGAACAGTTCCCCTGGGCATCTTCCTCTGCCCTACTCCATGTCGTTCGTGATGGTTTGTCGTTTAGGTTTTAGTACTGGCTAGGAAACCTGGAGCTCCTTGCTCACACCCTCCCCCAGCTCTCCGCATGGCACAGGGATCCGAACTGTGGTCCTTGTGTCTGCACAGCTGCACTTTACCCAGTGAGCTGCCTCCCTACCCCATGGCCCGTTCTGACGTCCTGAGCTGTGGGTCTGTGAGACGGCACAGTGGGCATGGGCATGCTCATGCTGCCCGATGGGTCGTGTGCCACAGTCCACACAAGGAGAGGACAGGCTGAACTCCTGCAGTTGTCCTCTGACCCACATATGCATGCAGTGACACGTGGGTGTGTGCACAAACACGGAAAATAAATCAACGTAATAAAACATTTAAGTGTGTATATGTGTCTTTCTTAAAACTCCAGGGAGAAGAACTTTGTCGCTGCATATGGCTTCCAGTAAGCATATTACACACACACACATTTGGGGTGTTGTTTGTTTGTTTTTAGAGACAGGGTCTCACTATGCAGCCTTGGCCAGCCTGGAGATCACTCGCTGAGATGTTGCCTCTGTCTCCTGAGTGCCAGGGTTACGGGTGCGAGCCATCACGCCTGCTCAGTTAGCACATACTACTTGTGATTTTTCTCTTAAGTAAGACTGTAAAAATCAGATAAATTTTAGGGAGACTAGCTAGCTGTTCACCTTTCCCTTTTGTCTTTTAGGTTATTCCAGTGGCCTCTTCAGGCTCTCCTGTGGGAGACGTGCCCTTCATCCGATCAGGGCTGCTGGGCTTTGTAGGGCCGGTAGGTGACGGTTTCCTGTTGATTTTTCTCCATATGATCTAAACATTTGAACTTAATTCACAGAACTGAACAAATTCTGAGTATTGAAGGTGTCACAGTGCCTCTTATTAACAGTCACAGTTCCTCCTTTTCCTGTCTTCAGACAGCGTCTCACTACATAGTCCTGCTGACCTGGAACTCACAGAGACCCTGCCTCTGCCTCCCAAGTGCTGGGGTTAAAAATGTGCACCCCAGGCACTTCAGTTCTATTAGAAGATTGTGTAAGAATGTCATAGGAGCCAGGCAGTGGTGGCCCACACCTTTAATCCCAGCACTTGGGAGGCAGAGGCGGGTGGATTTCTGTGAGTTCGAGGCCAGCCTGGTGTCCAAAGTGAGTTCCAGGACAGCCAGGACTACATAGAAACCATGTCTCAAGAGAGAGGGGGGGGGGGGGGGGGGGAGAGAAAAAGAAAGAAAAGAACTTGTTACTTAGCAAATGGTATTTACAGGTACTGGGTCTAGAGATGACTAGGACCCGAAAAGCCTATTCTCAAAGAGCTCATGGTGAGCTTCAGGAATCCGTGAGGATGGCAGAGGGCCGTGCGCAGTGATGGGTGGTCACTATCCTGTAAACTTACCGATCACTAGCTTCCTCCTCCCCCTCTCCTGCTTCTCCTTCCCACCTCTGGGGTTTGGGTGCGGCAGGGGTCGCCCTCTTAGAAACCGTACACACTAAGTGTAGCCTTGGCTCTATTGACCTCTTGCCAGCACCAGAGAAGTCTCAGGTGCCCAACTCTGCTTGCTGCTCTGCTGTTGGGGTCTGGGATGGAGCTTCAGCGGTCTCTGAAATGGACAGACTATAGTCCTGCTCTGTAGGGAGACTAGGTTATGTCTGGTCTGAACTGGTCCCATGGTCAGACCTAGCTGTAAGAAGGATGAAGCCAGAAAGGCGATGCCAGCCAAACAGCCTCACTCTGAAAGATTTGGAGAAGCAGGCATCTCTATTTTTCTTTAAGATTGTTTTTATGATTTTAATTATATGTTGGAGTTACAGGAGTTGTGAGCCTGTGACATGGGTGCTGCAAATCACACTCAAGTCCTCTGGAAGACCAGTGCCTCCCCTAACCACTGAGCCGCATCTCTAGCCCTTCTTCTCTGACTCACACAGCTCTTAACACAGTTGGAAATGGCTGGCTCCCCTCTGGCATTGTGGGTGAACCAATAGCTTCCTATGCAGGGATTCTGCTTTTCTGTCTTAGCCCAGTCACTGTGTTGGCCCAACACTGTGCTCAGAAAGTTAATGAGTGACATTTACATGGAGAAAACCACTGGCTCATTGAGTGCATGAAAGTAGGCCAGAACCTGGCACTGACTTACTGCAGGGAGTAATGCTTTAGGGCCTGGGTCCCAGCTGCCTGTGCTTGTTGTCCTGGGAAGAAAATCTCCAGCATTCTTAGACTTTTTTCTATTATCTGTTTCTGCTCCTGCCTAATGGAAACGGTGTTACCCTTACATGCTCTAGGCAACTATTTACATATTAAAGCTGTTTGACTTCCCTCTAATTCAGTAGTAAATGAATTAACATGAACTAACACATATCCGTGGCGGAGAAAGTAAACGATATGTGGTCATAATCTTTTCCCTTTGAAATTTCCCCCTAGGAATATGAATGAATTCAGTAAGACCTCAGTGGGTGCTGGTTAGTGGTTCAGCCAAACCTAATGACCTGAGTTCAGTCCCTAGGACACACATGGAGGAGAGAACTGGCTCCTTCAGGTTGTCCTCCACCTCCACAAGCATGCAGTGGCATGCCTGTGCCCACCCACACATACACCCTCACAAGATAACTAATGTGGTTTTCAAAAAGACCTCATTGACTCTAGGTACTAGTTTCTCACTAATTCCAGAGGGATTCTTTGGAGAAAAAAAAAATTCGAGTGGGGGCAGTGGTGGTACACATGTTTAATCCCAGCACTCAGGAGGCAGAGGCAGGCAGATCTCTGTGAGTTCGAAGCCAGCCTGGTCTACAGACTGAGTTCCAGTACGGCCAGGGCTACACAGAGAAACCCTGTCTTGAAAAAAAGCAAAACTAAAATAAAATAAAAATAAATCCATAAACTATGACATTGCTTTCTTTGATATAAACACACACAGTGTTGGGGATTGAACTGTGTACATGCCTTACAGGTATTTTTCTTAGCTTTTTTTTTTATGAGATTTACTTCAGAGTAGGAAATGTACAGTATCTGTCTTTACCCTTTTAACCATGGAAATGAAGGTAGATAAATCATTGTTAACTTTCAGGGGAGCTTGGTGTTCGTGGTTGGAAAGATGGATGGCTTGCTCATGGTTAGTGGTCGCAGACATAACGCTGACGACATTGTGGCTACTGGCCTGGCGGTGGAGTCCATCAAGACTGTCTATCGAGGACGGTGAGTGCTGCAGGGCAGTGTCACCGCGTTGGGGCGGTCTGAACTGCATTCTGTAGATGCTTTTCCAAATTACTAGGTTGGCTTGGGTTAAAGTAACAGAAGCCTGGCTTTAGGTGTGTATCCCACCCTATTCGGCTCTGAGTGACGGAGAGGAATGAGGCGTGTCTCAGAGTCTGTTACTCCTTGTTGAGTTCTGAAGACTGAGGAGAATTGAAGACAAAACACTGCATGTTCCATAGTTCTTCAGTGCCAAGATGGTGCTGTCCAGGCTAGTGTAGCGAGGTGCCACTCTGTACAAATACACACCTGAGAATTCTTCCTCTCGTTTCTAACCCAATTGTGGTGTTTTCCATGTGGAGATTGACATGTCAGTTTAGTGTTGAGAATTCCAAGTTCTGTGGACAAAGTCAGGCCTTTTCTTTTGCTTACTAATGCAAGAAGAGGTATTCCAGCAGTTCACAGTCTCAGACAGGTATCTGTTAGGGTTATTTTTGTTTTGTTTTTACACAAAAACATTTCCATACACATGTACACATGTATGGTATGCTTGGAGCATGTGCCTCCTTATTCCTCCTAGCCTTCCTTACATAAGAAGTAAGAAAATTTGACCACATCGAAAAAGAACCAGTCCTGAACTGTATGGTTTTCTGTAAGTGTGGCTCTTAGGAATGGAACTTCCTGGGCCCTGGACCCACTGTCTGTGGTCACAGTTGTGTTCCTGACACATAGTTAGCACTCCATCCCTGCCGAGGGTGGAAGGAAGGGATTCGGGCAGATCAGCCGGCGTCATTGGCTCTCCAGTCACTTCCCATCCTCCCTGCACGCTTCAACAAATCCTCACCGGGTGCCAACTACACGCTGCTTTTCTGGGTGTGTGCCCACACATGCTCATGACAAACACAGGAGCCAGGCAAATGGCAGCATAGATGTCACGTGAGAGGGCCGTGAGTGCTGTGGTGTGAACACAAGGTGATCTGGGAACGCCTCACTAGTAAGGGGACATTTGAGCGGAGACCTCCTTAGATCTAACTCCATCCTCCCTCCCCTCTCAGCCTCGGTCTCCCTCGGTCTCCCTCGGTCTCCCTCGCCTGTGTCTGACCTTCGCTCCACTCTCTGCTTCACTACTCTGCTCCAGGCACACTGGCCTTCTTGCTGTTCCTCAAACCTGCCAAGCTCGTGCCTACCTCAGCACCTTTCCGCTTTCCGTTCCTTCTGCCCGGAATCCTCTTCCTCCAGATCTTCGCGTGGCTCGCGTCCTCACCTCATTCAGGTCTCTGCTCCAGTGTCCGCTCCCCAGGGAGGCGCTCCCCCAAGCACCCATATCCCACTCCACTGGGCACCCCACTCTGCTGCCCCAGGCTCTTCCTGGTGCATCACAACATGGCTTCGTTATCTGTGTGTTGATTGGTTCTGTCTCGGACACGTAAGCACCACAAAGACAGGGATTGTGTCTTGTCACACTCTGTGGTGCTTAATCCACGCTGTTTTCGTTACGTTGTAAGTGAACCACTCGACGCTGGTTTGGTGATGATGGCACATTTCTCTCTACTGCTCGTGTCTGGGTGGTGTGTCGGGATGGCTCCTCTGTGATTCCAACTCAGAGAAGCAAATAGGATGGTTCTGGAGGGCGACTGACGTGTCTGATCTGTCTCTCTTAGAATTGCTGTGTTTTCTGTGTCTGTGTTTTATGACGAGCGCATTGTGGTGGTAGCAGAGCAAAGGCCTGATGCCTCCGAGGAAGACAGCTTCCAATGGATGAGCCGCGTGCTGCAGGTGAGCGCTGGGCCATGCCGGGGCAGAGGCGGGGACTGCTGCCTGCCTGCCTGCCTGCCAGATACGCTGTCTTTAAAGATCATGTTTGAGCCGGGTATGGTGGCGCACTCGGAAGGCAGAGGCGGGTGGGTCTCTGTGCGTTCAAAGCCAGCCTGGTCTACAGAACCAGTTCTAGGGCAGCCAGGGCCTCACAGAGAAACCCTGTCTCAAAACACAAAAACAAAAACAAAAACAAAAAACAACCAAAACCAAAAAATGATGTTTAAGAATTTCATACACATAGACAGTGCAATATGTTCCTACCCACTCTCCTTTCCCCGGCCTCCCACTTTCTCCGTATCTCCCCAGATACCTTATTTCTTTCATGCCCAAGTGTTGGCTACCCATGAAGGTTTTGACTGCCTATGTGTGGCATGCATCTCTGAAGGTAACCATGTGTCAGAGGTTAGCCTCGGTCTTACCATACCTCTTGGAGGGTCCAAGAACTTTCCTCCTTATGCAAGGGAGCTGTTCTGGGGAGTCAGAGGAGCCGGGAGGGGAGCTGGGAGGGCAGGAGGAAGACTAGGGCTCGGTGCTGAGACTGTGTCTCTGGTGGAAACTGGCTAAAGGGGGAAGCCGCCAAGGCTCCATCTAGAGTCACGACTGTCAGTCTCTTTACCAGCACCATGAATGTAAGCAGGTGACTAGACTTCAGAGCTTGTTCCAGACCTGTGAAAGGGAGACAGAGTCTCTCCAGAATGAGTCGATGCGTGAGGTCTGCACTCAGTAGACAGCGGTGACCTGATCAATATAGAATGACATCACCCACTGTGAGTCCCATGCAGGCTGGGACTTCTCAGCCCTTATTGTTCTCCACTCACCTCCAGAGCCTGAGAGCTGTACTCGCATGCCGCATAGTAGGACCCAAAAGTAAATGCACGGTCCAGAGCAAGCTGGCCTGCCTTCCCAGTGATAACTCACGTTACCGGAAGTGTTTCCAGGGCCTGTGACTTCTCTGCCCAGGGCACTTGGCCTTTGTAACAGTCACTTAGTAACAGAAATGACGTAGACACAACGTGAGAGACAGCACCAGGTGACTTCAGATTTCTTTCTGTTCTCAGAACACATTATTCTGAATTATTAGCTAGTCCACAGGTGGACTGTTTGTAGAACGAAACTGAAAGGGACTGCCAGGTGTGGTGGTGCACACCTTTAATCCCAGCACTCGGGAGGCAGAGCCAAGTGGATCTCTGTGAGTTCGAGGCCAGCCTGGTCTACAGAGTTCCAGAACAGCCTGGGCTGCAGAGTTCCAGAACAGCAGTCTCAAAAAAGAAGGAAAGAAAGGGACTAGGTGTGATGGCGCACGCCTTTCATCGATGCACTCTGGAGGCAGAGACAGGAGGATCTCTGAGAGCTGAGTTCCAGGACAGGGAGGGCTACATAAAGAGACCCTGTCTCAAAAAGAAAAAAAAAAAATCACAGGACATAATCTGAATATAAACGAGGCTGAAAATACGGTGAAGACTGTAGGAATGGGCTGATACCTGTTTATCTGAAAGATAGCTAAGGGGCAGACATGCAAAGATTCATTTTAGTCGGTGTGGCAGTACGTGCTGTAAACCCAGCACTTGGAAGGCAGAGGCTGGAGAATTAGAGTCCAAACGAGCACTGTGGAGCGCAGAGTAAAACCCGTCACAAAGAAACAATAGGAAGGGCTGGAGAGGGGCTCATGGGTAAGAGGCTGCTCTTCCAGAGACCTGGGTCGGATTCCCAGGCCCCACGCTGACAACTGTCTGTAACCCCCATGCTCCTGTGGGCACCAGTCATCTACTTGGTGCACAGGCATGCATACAGGCAAACATTCATGCCATAAAATGAAGTTAATTAAATACAAAAGAGTAATAAGGGTCTGACAAGACGGCTCTGCTGATAAAGGCGCCTGCAGTGCAAGTCTGATGACCTCATTTCAGTCCGTGGGACCCATCTGAAGGTGGAGAGAGAACGGACCCCACAAGGCTGCCCTCTGACCTCCACAGGAACACTGCAGCATGCATGTGTGTGCGTGCACGCGCGCGCGCGCACACACACACAATTGTAGTGGCACCACCATACTCACCCACATATGAGATCTTGGTTTTTTTCATTTTTTCCAATTTTGTAACTTTATTTGCTATTCATCGAGTTAGTTCTCATCCAAATTGATTGTAGAGTTTTTAACGTGGTAACAGGACACAAGCCGCCAACGTCAAGAGCTTGTCTGGTGAGTCCGAGTCCTCGTTCCGTTTTTCCAACAAGCATGCAGGATATAGTATGGGACGCTCTTTGTTCCTTTGGACCGGATGGTTTCTTGAGCTTGGTGTTGGTGTGCACACCTGAAGTCCCTCTGCTTCATCACACATTTCTGGATTTCTTGGAGGGCCTGAGGGGCATGCTTCTGAAGCCCACTCCACGGTGTTCCAATGAATGTTGATGGTGTATTCTCAGATCACCTCTTTGTTGATGGCGGAACTGCCCTTCTTCTTGCCGCTTTCCTTTACTGGAGCCGTTCTGCCAGGTCCAAGTTGGAAAGGAAGGGCTCAAAGGATTGTGGGAAGAAGGTATAACTTCCAGGTCACAGGGACATGGAGAGTGGAGGTGTGGCTAGGCATGTTCAGGAACTTAATGATCTACCAGACTTCCATCCTGGGATGGATGGAGGAACACCCTGCAGTGAAATAGTGCGCTCTCTCAGGATGTATCCCATGGCATCCGAGTCATCTCCCTGAATGTTTTCCTTTGTGTTTTTCCAGGCAATCGATAGCATCCATCAAGTAGGCGTTTACTGTCTTGCTCTGGTGCCTGCCAACACATTACCAAAAACTCCACTAGGAGGGATCCATATATCTCAGACGAAACAGCTCTTTCTGGAGGGATCTCTGCACCCATGTAATATCCTCATGTGCCCACATACGTGTGTGACGAACTTGCCCAAACCCCGACAAAAGCAACCAGGTAATAATCTGGCTTCTAGCCATGACATTACAGGCAGCTTCTAGAAGCTAGACTTTCAGCGCAGTGCTGCATGGGCTTAGACTCTCCAGAGATAACATAAGGACCGCATGTGCTGACCACCAGCCAGGAAGACTGCTGCCCTGCGGGACATGCTGCTGCTTCTCTTGGCTGAGTTTGCCACAGTGATTGAGAGAGGGAGAAAGGGTAAAGCTCATCCCCTGTTGATAAGAGCAGCTGGTATTCAGTGAGTACTCACTAAATGCCACGTGCTGGCTATGCATGTTACATGTGTGATCGTAAATGTGAGTCCGTAAAGTCACGTGGCTTGTTAGTGCCGAGCTGAGAATCACTCGTAGTGTCATTGCGGCATACTGGCTTTCCGTGGGAGTCTCATGCCTGGAATGACCTCTCCCTCCTCCTAGCTGCTGAAGTTGGGTGCGGGCCTATCCTACCTCTGGGTTACAGGCATTTTCTGAATTATAAGTAGAAGATAAACAGCATTGTTGGCCATTTTCAAGGTACAAACCAAAAGAATATGAATTGCCACATGGAGAAGAGAAAAAACACAAACCAGTTCCACCTTCTTGCCTGATTTCTGAGCAGAGAAATGTCACAGGCCCAGGTAGAAAGCTAAGGCACTGCTTGTGACTGATTGACAGGCAGTCTCTTCAGACATGTGTCAAGTCCAGTTGAGAGCCTGTCTCACAAAAGGAAAGATGGCAGGGTGTGGTGGCATACACTGAGACAGGCAATCTCTGAGTTCAAGACGAGTCTGGTCTACATGGTCAGTTCCAGGCCATCTAGGGCTGCACAGTGAGTCTTGTCTCAATGAGAGATGAGGAGGGACTTAAACTGGCACGGCCTTACTACATTGTACCAACCCCTCTGTGTTAGAAAAGAAGGGTGAGAAGCCCAATGAGCTTCCTGTCGTCCTGGAAACATCAAAGCAGAAACCGGGCCTCTCCAGTTACCCCTGGCCCTATCCCCCCCACCCCACCCACCCCCACACCCCACCCCCACACCCCGAGCCGAGGAAAAGGAGATGGAAATGGAAGGGTCAGAAGCAGAGTGGCATCTGAATGGACTTTGTGTGACCTGTGCTGGAAGGTGAGCAGCATGTGCGCTCACAGTGAAGTAGGGGTGTCCCCGGGACCCCACACTGTTGCTGGTGTGAAGCTCGCTGTGGTCCTATCATGCCCTTGGCCAGACTGTTGGAACTAGCGTGCGTTCATGACAGTGGTTCTGCGAGGGGAATGAAGGGTTTGTGGAGGCTAGCACTCTACTGTGTGTGTTTGCTCGTTGGGCTTCGTTGTTGAGGCTGCTGTCCTGTAGTGAGAAAGTCTGAATCAAGCCGTCCATGTGATTACTCAGAAAATGTTAAAGGGAACTGGGAGATGGCTGAGCGCTTAGGAGTCTGTGCTGCTCTGCTGGAGGATCTGAGTTCAGGTCTGAGAGTCCATCCAGACCAGGTGGCTCACAACCGTCTGTAACTCCAGCCCTAGAGGATCAGACACCCTCTTCGGGCCTCTGTTAGGTACTCACACACACACGGCACATGCATGCACACACACACACAAACACACACACACACACACACACACACACACACACACACACACATGAAACAGAACACAAAAGGAGTGTCTTCAAACAGTCCTGCATAGATGCTGTGGGACGTTCTGTATGGCGAATGTGTTGCTGATTGGTCGATGAATGGAACACTGATTGGCCATTGGCTAGGCAGGAAGTATAGGCGGGACAAGGAGGAGAATGAAGCTGGGAAGTGGAAGGCTGAGTCAGAGAGACACTGCCAGCCGCCACGATGAGAAACAGCATGTGAAGATGCCGGTAAGCCACGAGCCACGTGGCAAGGTGTGGATTGATGGAAATGGATTAATTTAAGCTGTAAGAGCAGTTAGCAAGAAGCCTGCCACAGCCATACAGTTTGCGGCCAGTGTAGGTCTCTGTGTTTACTTGGTTGGGTCTGAGGGGCTGTGGGACTGGCGGGTGAGAGAGATTTGTCCTGACTGTGGACCAGGCAGGAAAACTCTAGCTACACATAGACACATGGCAGCTACGACCGATGCACCTCATGCAGCAGTGGGGCTAACTGGGAGAGTGTGTGGTTAGTGTGTGCAAACTCCTGGATTCCTTTGGTCCCCAGCACTGAAGAAACAGACAGGTGCAAGTGCTTCTCCGTCTTAAATCTTGTTACCTTTTGTGAATAAAATCCTATTTTAAGTAACATAGAGGATGTTTTGTTTTTTGAGACAGGATCTAGCTATGTCACCTTGGGGGGCCTTAAATTCACGATCGCCCTGCTTCAGCCTCCCAGGTGCTGGATTTCATATGTGCGCCACCATTCCCCTGGTAAGCACAGGAGTTTTTAATGAAAACATTCATGTTAGAGTAGATGCTTTTAAAATATTCTTGGAGGTACAGTAGTCGTTAAATCTTTCTTTCTTTTTTCTTTTTTTGGTTTTTCAAGACAGGGTTTCTCTGTGTAGTAGTCCTGGCTGTCCTAGAACTCACTCTGTAGACCAGGCTGGCCTCAAACTCACAGAGATCCACCTGCCTCTGCCTTCTGAGTGCTGGGATCAAAGGCATGTGCCAACACTGCCCAGCCTTTTGAATTTATATTTATGTGTATCAGTATTTTTTTTTTTTTTCGGTTTTTCGAGACAGGGTTTCTCTGTGTAGCTTTGCGCCTTTCCTGGATCTCGCGCTGTAGACCAGGCTGGCCTCGAACTCACAGAGATCCGCCTGCCTCTGCCTCCCGAGTGCTGGGATTAAAGGCGTGCGCCACCACCGCCCGGCGTGTATCAGTATTTTGTCTGCATGTATGACTGTGTGTCACATGAGTACAGTGCCCAAGGCAGCCAGAAGAGTGTGTAGGATCCCCTGGAACTGGGTTACATATGGTTGTGAGCCACCGTGTGGGTACAGCCACTGAGCCAGCTCTCCAGCCTCCAAATCTGCTTTTACTATGACCACCTTCTACGGCCACATACACGGCTGTGAAGAAGACCAGTGGAGTTTGAGAATCTGGCACTGAGGAGTGGAGGTGGTGAGGGAATAGTGTGGGAGTTTGAGACTTGGTAAAAATTCAGAAAAGTAGCAGCTGGGGAGATGGCTCAGCAGTTTAGAACACTGGCCTCTCTCAGAGGACCTGGGTTCAATTCCTAGCCCCTATGTGACAGCTCACACATCTGTAACTCCAGTTCCAGGGGATCTGACTCCCTCTTCTTACCCCCTCAGGTAAGATGTACAGACATCATGTACAGACAGACAGAACACCCATACACTAAAAATCCAGATTGATAAATATTTAATTCAGAAAAGTAGGGAATTGAGAAGAGAAAGATGATGGATGTAGAGTGAGTCTCACTGAGATGCTGTTGGCATGTGGAAGTGTGTCAGTGTGGTCCTGGCTCAAGTCAGAAACCTGGAAGCAGAGTCAAGTCTGTTTCTCTTCAGGTGAAAGAGTCAGAGCAAGGCAGGCCTGACGAGGATGATCGTTCTTCAGGTGTGCTCTGCTGCTTCTGCCTCCTGTCTTTTTTTTTTTTAGGACTTACTATTTTTTAATGTGTATGGGTGTTTTCCTGCATTTATGCCTGTGTGCTGTGTGTGTGCAGAGGCCAGAAGAGGGCGTCAGAGTCCCTGGAGCTGGGTTATAGGTGGTTGTTAGATGGCTGTATAGGTGCTGAGAACTGAACCTGGTCCCTGCAGGAACAGCCATTCCTTCAGAATCTTTTTGCTCTGGTGACTTGTCACTGCGCTATTGTTATAGGTGTGCTACATGACAATAACCCTAAAACTCAGTGCCTTCAGATAGCAGACATTTGCTTTTCACTCATGGAGTATGCATAAGCTGCAGGTCCTATTCAGAGTTTGCCCATGTTCTCCTCTCTGGAATGGGCTTTGGCCTCAAACCCCAGCCTCAGCCTCCTTACTACTGGATTTGCCGGTGTGAGCCACCATGCCCAGTATGGCTGTCCTTTTCTCAGGAAACATGACTGAAGCAGGATGTCCAGCCCCCCACACAAGTGTGGTTAGGGTGTCTCTCTTTGTTACCACCTGCTACTGTTTCTTGTCCAGAGCAAGTCAGACCAAGCCCGCAAGTCAGTGTGGCCGAGTAGAGTCCAGTGTGAGTGAGCTAACACAGGAAGGGAGGTTCTGACAAAATGAGACTGTGGCCACGCGCCTCTGTAACAGATTGTCTTGGATCCGTGGACTGCCTGACCTCTGGCCAGTGGTTCTACACCCCAGCTAGCGGAGAGGAGAAAGCTGTAGAGAGGAGAATTCCTTCTCCAAACAGGTGTGTGGAAATCACATGTGACCTGCTCTCCCTTGTCTCAAACTAAAGGATGCAGCCTTTGTTCCAGGGATGTTTACAGATAAACTGGTTATCAGCTTGTAGACAGTAGTGGCAGGTGTCTGAGTTCCAGGCCAGCATGGTCTACAGAGAGTTCCAGGCCAGCTGGGTTGGTACAGTGGAAACCTGTCTAAGAAAAAGAAGAAACAGAAAAGAAAACTGGGATGTGTTATTGAGGAAGGGAATAGTAATAAAGCATGGCGTTGGCCTCAGGAAACTTTCAGGACTTCATGGGAAAGGGGAGGGATTTCCAGGTAGAGCTGTGTACAGTAGCTCCCAGGAACTGCCTCCCACTTCTCTGTTCACTCTGACCTGTACACTCAAGAACTGCACCCAGAAGACCCTTGAATTAGTCAGTGTTCTATTGCTGTGAAGAGTTATAAAGGAAACATTTAATTGGGCTGGCTTACAGTTCAGAGGTTTAGTCCATTGTCATCATGGCAGGAAGCATGGCAGCATGCAGGCAGACATGGTGCTGGAGAGGTAGCTGAGAGTTCTACATTTTGATCCTCAGGCAACAAGAAGTGAACTCTGTCCCACAATGGGTGTACCCCCACAGTGACATACTTCCTCCAACAAGGCTTCAACTCCTATTATTGCCACTTCCTATGTGCCAAGCATTCAGACACACGAGTCTGTAAGGCCAAAGTTGCTATTCCACCACAGTCCTCCACCACAGTCCTCCAGATGTTACTGCTGAGCAGCGTCTACTTTTTAAAATGTCGCTTCTGGGGCTAGAGAGATGCTCAGAGGTTGAGGGCACGTGGTGCTCTTACAAGAAAAATCGAGTTCAGTTTCCTGCACCCACATTGGGGGGCTCACAATCACCTATAACTTTAGTTCCAGGGGATCTGACCCCCTCTTCTGGCTTCTGCAAGAATATGCACACACATATGCATACACATAAATAATAAAATAAATCTTTAGAAAATCTGTTCATTGTAAACTGTAAAGCTAATTCAGATCATTTTCACAGGTGCACTCTGGGTCCTTCCTATGTGAAGAACTGTTTTGAGAATGCGTATCATTTATCATAGGAAAGGATGGTCCTTATTCTCAAATTGCTTTGGACACTTTGCAGACAAGCTATTCTGACATCAGAGTGTAGGAACAACCTCCCATTCTCAATTTTTTATATTTCATGAAAAACAGTTTAGAATTACATTGTGTGTGATTTGAGGAGCACGCACTCATCAAAGGACGACTTGTAGGAGTCAGTTTTTTCCTTGCACCATGTTGATCCTGGGGGTTGAACTCAGGTCTTCAGGCTTGGTGGTAGGGGCTTGTTGAGCCTTCTTGCTGGCCCCCTTTCATTTTTTTTTTTAACTTCAGAAGTAATTGCAGACTTACAAAAAAATGTTACTGGATGTTCCTTATGCAAGTTCCCTAAATATTTACACACACACACATAACTTTTTTTTTCCTGGAGGTCTCACTATATAGCCCAGCTAACCTCCATGTTAACCACAGAGGTCTGTGCCACCATGCCTGGATATTTACTTTTTAAAAGGTGAGCTGAGTTACATGTTTTTATCACCTATTTCAGTATATTTAAGAGCATATAAATGCTGAGAATAAAAGACATTGCATGTTAGGCATCATCATTGTTCAGAACCTAGCTGGCAGTGGTGGCTTCGTGGGGGCTTGTTCCCCATTGACTCTAAAGTAGATTGCAGACATCATGATCCTCTCTACCTGTACTATTTGACACTTTTTCCAAAGAAGCACAGAACTGTAGCCAGAAGTTTTCCTGTGTCCCACAGCTGCTCTGTCCTAAGTAAACACACAAATGCTTATATTAATTACAGACTGTTTGGTCTATGGCTCAGGCTTCTTGCTAGCTAGCTCTTTCAAATTAAATTAACCCATTTCTATTTATATATCTATTTATATATTGCCACGTGGCCATGGCATTACTGGTCTGCTGGCATCTTATTGCTCCTTGGGCAGCAGGCTGGCATCTGCTCTGACTCTGCCCTCCTTCATCCCGTGTCTTTGCCTGGATATCCCACCTGGCTCTTATCCTGCCTTACCATAGGCAAGAACAGCTTCTTTATTAACCAATCGTAGCAACACATATTCACAGCGTACAGAAAGACCATCCTACAGCACAGAACTCTCCACTTGTTTATTTTAGCTGATTTTTTTCAATCCAGTAGTATGTCAAGGTTGTGCATTTGACTGCCTTATTTTGTCTTTAACTCATAGATGATTCTGGGTATGATGGTACCCATAGACAGGAAGCTGAGAGAGGAGAACCATGAGTTTGAGGCCTGCAATTTGCATTTCATCATTTACTTTTAATAAAAAAAATTCTCATATTCCCTTTTTAATTATTTTATATAATTTTATTCTCTCTATATATAATTTTTATTCTATATATAATTTTTTAAATAGGAAATACGAGAATTTTTTATATAAAAGTTTTATATAGATGTTTATATATATACAGAGAGAGAGAGAATGTGTATGTGTGTGTGCATTTTGCATACATATGAAAATCAGAGGACAAGATGCAGGCCTTGGTTTTCTTCTTCTGCCATATGGTTCTAGAGGTGGAACTCATACCATCGGACTTGGTGGCAAACACCTTTGCCCACTAAGCCATCTAGCTGGCCCAGCACTGGTCATATTTCTAGTGATCTTAGTCCATATCCTGAGAGGTGACAGGGTTTTTGCAGACCTGATAGCAGTTACTGTAAGCACTCTTTTTAGGACTGTTTGTGGGAACCAGTGGAACTGCGGACTCTGGAGTAAAATTCTCCCTGTGGACCTAACTCAGGAGCCACCTGTGCCCCTTGTCCCATCTCCCTGGGTCTCCTGGGTCTGTTTTATCATCTTCAGCACTTCCCACTGCCAGCCATGTCCATACTGTGTATACTTTTGGTTGCCGTTTTCACTGGAATGCAGGCTCTTTGCCCCATGCCTGAAAGACCATGTGCTTCCCCTACACTGCTGCGTGAACTTGGGCCAGTCTCGAAATGGTTTGGGAGCGTGTGACTTGAGTTGCTGTCTTCAGGGTTGGTTTTGCTTCTGTCCACAGGTGTCGGCCCCGCCTCTGTGATGGTCGGGAATCTGGTTGCCGGCAAACGTATAGCACAAGCTGCCGGAAGGGACCTGGGGCAGATTGAAGAGAACGATCTGGTGAGGAAGGTAAGTTCAGATGTGTCCAGCTTCTGTCAGCTCAGGCCAGAGTGCAGGTGTGGGCTTGCTTCAGGAGTCTTCGGAACTTGCTGACATCAAGTCCTTTTCTCTCCTTTGTGACTTTAGCACCAGTTCCTGGCAGAGATTCTGCAGTGGCGAGCCCAGGCAACTCCTGACCATGTGCTCTTCATGCTATTAAATGCCAAGGTATTAAAATATCACTGCAGGGTTGGGGAGTGTTTGCCTAGCATGGACAAGGCCCTGGATTCAATCCCCAATACTACATACCTGGGCATGATGATGCATGCCTATAATCCCAGCCCTGGGAGGCAGAAGTAGAAGAATTTGGAGTTAAAGATCATCCTCAAACTACATAGCATAGTTTAACTGGAGTTACCTCCAGTTCTGCCCAGCCTGCAGCCACTCAGACCCAAATAAATACACAGATGCTTTTGGAAATAAATATTTATTATTTAAACTGTTTGGCCTAATGGCTCAGACTTCTTGCTATTTAGTTCTTATATCTTAAATTAACCCATTTCTATTAATCTGTAAGTTGCCACGTGGCTTGTGGCTTACTGGTACTTTACATCTTACTTCTCATGGCGGCAGCTGGCAGCGTCTCCTCACTCAGCCTTCCTGTTCCCAGAATTCTCCTCACTCTTTGTCCCACCTAGACTTCCTGCCTGGCTACTGGCCAATCAGAACTTCATTTATTAACTAATCAGAGCAACACATTCGTAGCATATAGATATCCACTGCACTTAGAAGTAGAAAAATTTGGAGTTAAAGATCATCCTCAAACTACTACAGACCAGCCTAGGTTACATAAGATACTGTCTCAGAACAAACAAACACATGAACAGAATGTGCACTAAGAAAGAAACATTAAGAAATTAGGCCGGGCCGGGCGGTGGTGGCGCACACCTTTAATCCCAGCACTTGGGAGGCAGAGGCAGGTCTAGTCTACAGAGCGAGTTCCAGGACAGCCAAGGCTGTTACACAGAGAAACCTGTCTTGAAAAAAAAGGGAAGGAAGGAATTAAGAAAGAAAGACTGTAGGAATTAAGAAAGACTGTATGTTTGGTTTACGTCAGTGCTAACAACCCTGAGTACCTAGGACATTGGGAAAGAAAAGAAATCCCACACCTGTCTTTTGTTACGGGGGTTGGGGGGGCAGTGTTCTCCAGTTGATAATTCACCCAAGGTGATGTCCAGAGGCCTGTGGAGGGTAACGTCTGCTTGTTTGTGCTTGTCTCACAACTGTACTGAGCTGCAACCACTTTTCCTCCTTCTGTTGAAAGGGAACCACTGTGTGCACAGCCAGCTGCCTTCAGCTTCATAAGCGAGCAGAGAGGATCGCATCAGTGCTTGGTGACAAGGGACATCTAAATGCAGGGGACAATGTGGTGTTGCTCTACCCTCCTGGTAAGGGTTGCATTGGTAAACTGGACTCTGAACTGTGTTATTAGGTCACACATACCAGGAGAAGATGGGAACTCAGGGCCACCATCTACAACCACAGAGGCCTGGTGCTTCCCAACCCCAAGGCACTTCAGGCACACTTGCTAAGGTGTGATCCAGGCTGCATCCCTGAGTTGAGCGGTGTGAATGAGCTCTGTCTGTTTTGCATTCCCTCTGTTTCCATCAGTGCCTACTTAATAAAAGCCACACATGGCAGCACACGGCTGTAATTCCAGTCCTCGTGTGGTAGCAGGAGAATTAGATATTCAAGGCCAGTAAGAGTTATGTAACAGGGTTGGAGAGATGGCTCAGTGGTTAAGAGCACTGGTTGCTCTTCCAGAGGTTCTGAGTTCAATTCCCAGCAACCACATGGTGGCTCACAACCATCTGTAATGAGATCTGGTGCCCTCTTCTGTCATGAAGATGTACAGGAAGACAGAACACTCACACACATAAATAATTAAATCTTTAAAAGTGCTAGAGGAATACACCCAGTGTTGATATCTGGCCTCTGCATGCACGTGTACATGTGATCACAGACACATACACCACACACACACACATTAAAAAAAAAAAAAAGTTATGTAACAAGTTACATATCCAGTCTGAGCTATATAACAAGACTTATAAGTAGCCAGCTGTGGTAACTCACACCTTTAATCCCAGTACTCAGGAGGTTGATGTAAATCGATCTCTGTGAGTCAAGGCCAGCCTAGTCTACAGAGTGAGTTCCAGGACAGCCAGAGCCAAACAACAACACAAGATAGCCAGGTGAGGGAGCACACACCTACTAATCCCACCCTTGGGAAGTAGCGGCAAAAGGATCAGGAGTTCATGGCCAGCCTCAGCTAAAGACAAAACTAACTGAGGAGAAAGCTCAGCCGGTTAAGCGGTTGCTACGGAAGCACGAGGACCTGAGTTTGGATCCAGCACCACATACAAGGCGAGGCTTTGGGCATGAAGAGCTTGTGGGTAAAAGTGATGTTGACCCCAGGAACTCACAGGAAAAGGAGAAAACCAACTTCCTAAAGTTCTCTGACCTCTACATGTACACATGCATAACACACACACACACACACACACACACACACACACACACACACACGCCAGCACGATGGTGTGCACCAGCAGTCCTGGTGCTGCAGAGGCAGACAGGTGGCCAGCTGGTCTAGGCAGATTGGTGAGTTCCAGGTTCAGTGAGAGAACCCATCTCACACAACAAGGTGATGAGGCAGGAGAGTGGGTCAGAATTGAGTTCTTGCTACTTTTCCAGGGGACCAGAATCCAACAGCCACCCGTTACTCCAGGTCTGGTGCTCTGTTCTGGCTTCTGTAGACATCCACATACACAAGTACATGCTAAAACACACACACATACATGGGTACCTGCTTAGACACACACATATACAAGTATGTGCTTAGACACTGATACACACATACACAGATACCTACTTAGACACAGATACCCACACACACAAGTACATGCTTAGGCACACACACACACACATACACAAGTACATGCTTAGGCACACACACACACAGGTACATGCTTAGGCACACACACACACATGCACAAGTACATGCTTAGGCACACACACACAGGTACATGCTTAGGCACAGACACACATATACATAGGTACATGCTTAGACACAGACTCGTGTGTTGTAGAATAATCTTTTTGTACACTGTGAAGATGTATCTTTGCCAAAAGGCCCTCTGATTGTTTTAATAAAGAGCTGAATGACCAATAGCTAGGCAGGAAGAGGTTAGGTGGGACTTCCAGACAGAGAGAAAAGAAGAGGAGATGAATCCAGAGGACACAGAGAGGAAGCAGGACATGCAGGAGGATAAGTAAAAGCCACAAGCCACGTGGCAGTACATAGATTAATGGAAATGGATTAATTTAAGTTATAAGAGCTAGTTAGAAACAAGCCTACACTAAGGCTCAGCTTTCATAAATAATAGTGAGTCTCTGTGTTGTGATTTGGGGGCTGGCAGTCCAAGAAAGCCTACTACATATGGCGCCCAACGTGGGACACCAGATTTTTGGTGGGGAGTTCTTTTTTTGTTGTTTTGTTTGTTTGGTTGGTTGGTTGGTTTTTCGAGGCAGGGTTCTCCGTGTAGTTTTGGTGCCTGTCCTAGATCTCGCTCTGTAGACCAGGCTGGCCTCGAACTCACAGAGATCTGTAGCTCGAGTTTTCCTGTCTGGCCCACAGTCAGGACAAATCTCTCTCCCACAGCCGTCAGACCCAACCAAGTAAACACAGAGACTTATATTGGTTACAAACTGTATGGCCAAGGCAGGCTTCTTGCTGACTGTTCTTACAGCTTAAATTAATTCATTTCCATTAATCTATACCTTGCCACATGGCTCGTAGCTTACCGGCATCTTCACATGCTGTTTCTCATCATGGCGGCTGGCAGTGTCTCTCTGACTCAGCCTTCCACTTCCCAGCTTCATTCTCCTCCTTGTCCCGCCTATACTTCCTGCCTAGCCAGTGGCCAATCAGTGTTTTATTTATTGACTAATTAGCAACACATTTGCCATACAGAACATCCCACAGCAGAGATCTGCCTGGCTCTGCCTCCCGAGTGCTGGAATTAAAGGTGTGCGCCACCACCACCCAGCGATTTTGGGATTCTTTTTATTATTTTATTAAAAAATAAAACTTGGGGATAAACATTAGGGAGTAAACCTGAGAGATCCACAGAGTAGCTGAAACACGATTCTCCCCCTCTCCACTTCCTGGAAGGGCCGTGCAACCCCTCAGCTCCTTCCTCCCCCATGTCCTCCTATCTCCCTCTGAGTCCTCCAGGAAACTCTTTGGTCCATCTCAGCCAGATGAATGTGGACTCTGCTCTGCAAACAGAGGTCAGGCTCTATTGGTGGTCTCGGAGCAATCAGCACATACGGCTCTTAACCAACACACACGCATACATACAAATATTTAAAAGGTAGAGCACCATGGAGGAAGACACCCAACACCAATCTCTGACCTCCACTTGTGTATGCACACACTGGTGCACATGTGCACACACACATGCGCGCGCACACACACACAGTACATTAATTAAAGTGTGAGGAAAGACTTTGACTACTTGACTTTTGGAAATCCTCTAAGTAAGGCATGTTGGTGTTCACCTGCTTTTCCAGATCCCTGAGAGCCAAGGTCAACCTGGGCAACATAGTGAGACCCCATCCTTTAAAAAAGGGGTGAAGGGACTGGAGATGAAGCCCATGCCGAGGCTCTGGGTTCAGTTCAGCATGAAAACCAAAAAGAGGATTGGTTTGTAGAGTGTTCAGGAGTAGAACCCTTTTCCCCAGTGTCTCCCAAAGAATACTTACTTTATGGGCTCTGTCGGCTTGACACCGCTCCTAGCATGAGTGGCGTTTGGATCTCGGCTGCTGCTTTCCTCTTTCATGGACTCAGCTCAGATACAACCTTCTCTGCGCAAGAAGAGGAATGTAGAGTTTATTTTGTGAAAGTTTTGTGCCAGGTGGTGGTGGCACACGCCTTTAATCCTAGCACTCAGGAGGCAGAGCCAGGTAGATCTCTGTGAGTTCGAGGCCAGCCTGGTCTACAGAGTGAGATCCAGGACAGGCACCAAAACTACACAGAGAAACCCTGTCTCAAAAAAAAAAAAAGAAGAAGAAAGAAGGTCTTTTGTAAATAGTCATTCTTAGAATTTATTTATTCTTTATTATGTGGTATGGGGAGGGGGGCACATGGAAGATCGGAAGACAACGTTTAGGAATTGGAATTGGTTCTCTCTTTCCACTGTGGGATCCAGAAGTTAAACTCAGGTCAGAGGTGTGCACAGCATGTGCTTCTACCTGCTGAGTCATCTCACTAGCCCAGTGTTCAGGATTCTACTGAAACATTTGAATTGAAAGACAAGCATGGGACTGGAGTGATGGTTCAGAGGTTAAGTGCACTGACTGCTCTTCCAGAGGTCCTGAGTTCAATTCCCAGCAACCACATGGTGGCTCACAACCATCTGTAATGGGATCTGATGCCCTCTTCTGGCGTACGAGAAGACAGAGTACTCATATACTTAAAATAAAAATAAAAATAAAAAAGACAAGCACAAGAAGAACAAAGCCATTTGCATTCCCTCCTGTCCCCTGACTGGTGTGCCTAGACTTGTCTCTGGTACTGTCCCCGGTGCTCCGTTTCACTCTCTCCTGGTCTTAGCCCTCTCCTCCACTCTCTCTGCTCTGCTTTCTCTGCTGTTCATCTGTGAACACAGAGACTGCCTAGACGGTCGCCTGCTCCAGGAGGGATGTGTCCTGTGTGTTTGCATGAAGTTGTCTTCCGTCTGTCAGGAAGGTAGTGGCTGTCGACAGCAGAGCTGAGGCCCTGAGCTGCACTCATTGACCCACAGCATCCGAGAAGTCCATTGCTTTTCCTGCAGCAGCCCTTGTGCAAGGAAAGCACAGCAGGCCTTGTTCCCCTCCCTGTCCTTATTGCCTTAGTTAAATACCCTTGATTCCTGCAGTTATTTTTCCCAAGTCATCAAAATAACAGCAACCTGCCTTCAAGCATTTTTCAAGAGCTCACTTCTAGGCTTGAGGATATAGCTCAGAGACATGACACTTGCTAGCCATACACAAAGCTCTGGGTTCAATCGCTGGTACCACCCAAATTGTGTGTGTGTGTGTGTGTGTGTGTGTGTGTGTGTGTGTGTGTGTGTGCGCGCGCGCGCATGCACACATACACATAATACACATAGGAATATATATATATATATATATATATATATATATATATATATATATATATATATATATATATATGCACATAAACACACACACATATTCCTTCCTAGTTTCCTGGGCCTCTTTGTATATTTTAAATTGTTTCATAATCTTCCTTCTTAATTTTTTATGTATTTGTTTTTGTTTTGTTTTAAAGATGGTCAGGCTGGCCTTTAACTATCACTATGTAGTCCAGGCTGATCTTGAACCCTTGGTTACCAAGTGTGAGCCACCATGCCAGACTTTCTATCCTTATTAGTTGTTAACATTTATTCTGTCAGTGTCTTCTTTGAATTGTGGTCAGATAATCCATAGGAGCCAGGTATGGTGATGCACACTTGTAATCCCAATACTTGAGAGACTCTGTCTCAACATCAAATGAAGCCGGGCAGTGGTGGCTCATACCTTTAATCCCAGCACTTGGGAAAGAGGCAGGCAGATCTCAGTGGTCTACATAGAGAGTTACAGGACAGCCAGGACTGTTTCACAGAGAAACCCTGTCTCACAAAACCAAAACAAAATCAACACCAAATGAATAAGTAGCCCACCTGTCAGTCACATGATTGGAGGCTCTGAGTTCAGTTCCTTGTGGTAGCAGCGGCCAAATGACTCCCCTGACAGTGCCCTCTGTCTTGCAGGCATCGAGTTAATCGCTGCATTCTATGGCTGCCTGTATGCAGGGTGTATACCTGTGACTGTGAGGCCCCCCCATGCTCAGAACCTCACAGCCACATTGCCCACGGTGCGCATGATCGTTGACGTAAGTACCTTCCCTATCTGTGTCTGATCCATTTCACAGAATCACATCAGACAACTAAGAACCCTAATAACTTCCCGGTTCTGTAGTGCCAAGTCTCACATTTTTCTCCTAAAAACTCTCCCAGTTTGGTGTGGTGGTGTGTGCCTGTGACCCCAGCACTCAGGAGGCAGATGCACAACTGTGAGTTCGAGGCCAGCCTGGGATATGTAGAAAGAGTCTGTGTCAAAAACAAACAGGCAAACAAACACAGACAAACAGTTGTCTCCTCTTATCTGGCCATCGTGGCAATCATCATCCAGTGAATAGGAGGACGATGATTGGAGAGGCAGGGACCGTACATGTTAATCCCAAACACTGAGAGTAGAGCTGTGCTTAGTAATTTTCCATAAAGCTGGCCCCTGTCTGTTCTTAAAACCTGTCTGACTTTTTTTCCTGCACAAGAACCAGTATAATTTTTCACGTCAAGTTCTCCAGTCAGGCCACTTTCGTTTAGGTTAATTTTGTATATTTAGCATTAAAAGGTGTGTAGGAGGCCGGGCGGTGGTGGCACACGCCTTTAATCCCAGCACTCGGGAGGCAGAGCCAGGCGGATCTCTGTGAGTTCGAGGCCAGCCTGGGCTACCAAGTGAGTTCCAGGAAAAGGCACAAAGCTACACAGAGAAACCCTGTCTCGAAAAACCAAAAAAAAAAAAAAAAAAAAGGTGTGTAGGGGGAGGGACTCCTTAGACCCCCATCCCCAGCTGAGAAGTTGATGGCTACCAGAGGAATGGAAGTTACTTTCTTTAGGAGGGTGGTGACTGAGAGTCCCCATGTCCCAGTGGTTGAGCCCATGCCTGTGTGCTGATGGGCAGCACTAGCTGGACTCAGTAGCTTAAAAATAAATGAATTCAAAATTATAAAAGAGGGACATGAAGCAAAGAGGGAGATGAGATGAAGGGACTTGGAGGAGGTGGTGGGGGTGAATATAATCGTGATACATTGCACATGTAGATGAAGTTTTCAAAGAAGAAATACAATTAAACCTTTTAGAAAACCTGTGCAGGGCTGGGATATGGCTCAGTGTCTGAGCACTTGTTTATCCTCAGCAATGCCAAAACAAACACGGCCCCTGAATTTTGTCCTGGGAGAGATCGAAGTTTTTACAGTATGTGAGAATTGAAATTGAATGAATCTATATTGTATCATATCCTGAGACCTGGGACAGAAGATCAGCCTGGGCCAGTGCATGTTGGGCTACACACTTCTAGGTGATGGGACATTTGTTTCTCCAAGGGCTGCTGCTGTGTCAGCAGCTTTGGCTGCAGCATAAAGCCATGCTCATCACAGATGACTTCATTACAGTTTAATTTAGCAAAAATGTCCTTGTTAGCTCCTACGGAGAGGCCTGGGGAAGCACTGAGAGTTTATTTCTGTTGACGCACTCTGTGTGTGAAAGTAGGTCACCTTGCCTTTCCCTGCAGAGCTGAGCAGCCCATTGTGTGGGCGCTTCTGTCTGGCTCCCTGGTCTCAGAGTGGTGTGCATTGTAGGTCTGGATTGCACACACCAATTCTGGCCGTGCCCACCACCTCCTCCCTTTCCCTTCTCACTACAGAATCCATGTCTTGGTTTATTAGGTCTTTCCAAAGATTAGGATCACAGGGCCCTTCCTGAGAGTATCACCATTGTAAGCAGCAGCCCCAGTGTTAAAGTGTCTGATATCCTGGAGAATTAAGCATGACACATTTTCAGAAATAAAACGAAAGGGGACGAGAATGAAACAATCCTGGCCAGCATGGTGAGCAAGCTACTTTTAGCAGCGGCCAGTGCTGTCCTCTGATGTTTGCTGCGTCCCTGTGTTTCTAGGTCAGTAAAGCAGCGTGCATTCTCACCACCCAGACGCTCATGAGGTTGCTCAAGTCTCGAGAGGCGGCGGCAGCTGTGGATGTGAAAACCTGGCCAACCATCATTGACACAGGTGAAGGGGGATTGCCCCGGAGCTGCCACCGTTCGCTACCAGAGGTTTCCTGGAGTCTCACGTCTGCACAGCTTTGTATTCTGACACCTTTCACTGTCTGCCGACTTGCCAGACACCCAAAGTGTGCTACCAACCTGCTGGCACAGTAAAGCCGCGTCCAAGAGCCGGCCGTAATACGCCAAGTGCTCTTTAAATGGAGTATCTTGCTGGATGTGATTGCTCACATCTATAATCTCAGGACTCTAGAGTCTGAGGCAGGAGGATTGTTAGTTCAAGCCATAGTGTGAGACCCTGTCTCAGAAAAGGAAAAAAAAGGCAAATAGTGTTTTGGTGATGCTTTTAGCATCATCCCCAAGGTGCTTATGTTTTATGGCCAGATACATGTAGGTCCATATAAAATACTGAGACGGGGCTGGAGAGGTAGCTCAGTTGGTAGCTGTGTAAGAAAGAGTGAGGAGCTCCCTTTGATCTCCAGGAAGCACATAAACAGCTGGACCTGGAGGTGTGGTGATGGGTCCCTCGAGCTTGCTGGCCAATCTAGCCTAACTGGTGAGCCCCAGGTCCCAGTGAGAGATCCTGTCTCAAAAAAACAAGGTGGATGACTCCTGAGAAACGACACCCTAAGTTGACCTCTGGCCTCCACTGGCACATAGACACATACACACATACATGCAGACCTGCAGATACACATGCACCTAGTTACACCTAAACATGTATACACACACACACACACACACACACACACACACACACACACACACACACACACACAATATCTGACCCTTGACTTGTAGGTGTGATAGCTTGAGATTCATTAACTGCTATGTAACCCCCTAAAATACTGTTGCTGTACTCCAAATACTAAATTATCAAATGTGATGCCATATGAAGACCAAAATATAAAAAAAAAAAAAAGATTTATTTAACTGGGTGGTAGTGGCGCACGCCTTTAATAGGGGGGTGGGGGACAGAGTCAGGTGGATTTCTGTGAGTTCCAGACCAGATTGGTCTACACAGCCAGGACTGTTACACAGAAAAAAACCTGTCTTGAAAAACAAAAAAAAAGAAGAGAGAGAGAAAGAGAGAGAGAGAGAAAGAAAGAACGAACCAGGATGTATATGAATTTTAGGTGATATTCAGACATGGGACTAGCTGGAGGATTGGGGGAACAGGAAGCTTTGGGGTTCTGCACTTGGGACCTAAATCCTGACACCTCTGCTGCTCCTGAGTATCCTCCCTAGCGTGGATGAAACTGTGTGTAAAGTGAGGCTTGTAGAGCTCGGTAGAATGTACCACCGGAGTGTGCTGCCTCGGGGTGCCACACAACCAGCAGAATGTACCACTGGAGTGTGCTGCCTCGGGGTGCCACACAACCAGCAGAATGTACCACTGGAGTGTGCTGCCTCGGGGTGCCACACAACCAGCAGAATGTACCACTGGAGTGTGCTGCCTCGGGGTGCCACACAACCAGCAGAATGTACCACTGGAGTGTGCTGCCTCGGGGTGCCACACAACCAGCAGAATGTACCACTGGAGTGTGCTGCCTCGGGGTGCCACACAACCAGCAGAATGTACCACCGGAGTGTGCTGCCTCGGGGTGCCACACAACCAGCAGAATGTACCACTGGAGTGTGCTGCCTCGGGGTGCCACACAACCAGCAGTGGCCACCCAGTGACAGGGAGATCTTAACCACAGTTGTTTCTGAACTCAGAAACCAAAGGACCGTCATAGGGCATGGTTGGGCTAGAGACATCTTGATAGTCTTTGTTTTGACTTAAGAAGAAAATCTGGGATAAGGGCAAACTATCCTACCTTGTCCAGTTCTCTGCAGGGCCAGAAGTGAGCCCTACTCAGGACTCGGTGCATGTTAGGCAATCACTCTGTGTCCCCAGCACAGAAAGACTATTTTAAATGAGTGAAAGAAAGTAATTCCAAATTCTAGAGGAGGGAGCTGTCTAACTTTAAAGTAGCTGTGGTAAAATGTTCGAAAGCAAGGAAGGACAGGTTGGTTCTGCTCACAGTTGAAGGTGCAGTGCATCATGGGAGAGCCAAGGCAGCAGAGGCTTGGAGCTGCAGCTGCTCACACTGACTGCAGTCAGGAGGAAGAGAGCATCCAATGCTCTTGTGTGTCTAGCCTTTTCGTTTTTATGTGGTTCAGGAACCAAGCTCACGGTACGGTGCCATGCTCCACTAGGTATTATATCTGAGCTCAAATACCCTAATCAAGATTATCCCTCATAAGTATGGCCAGAAGCTAACGTGATCCAAATAATGCCCCCATACATTTGCCTGGAGGCTGTCCCCCAGGGGATTCCAGATCCTGTCAGATTAAAAGTCAACACTGTCATACCATGTGTCATTAATACAGCATACTACTCTGTAAATGATGTGCTTTAATGAGAAACAGCATAACAATAATTAATGCATTTTGAGCATATACACAATTGTTATTTTAAAAGTGCTTCATGTGGGAGCTAGAGAGATGGCTTAGAGGTTAAGAGTACTGGCTGCTCTTGCAGAGAACACAGGTTCAGTTCCTAGCACTCACATGGCAGCTCATAGCCACCTGTTCCAATGGGATCCGGGCCTCTTCTGACTTCTTCAAGAGGCTCCTGCATGCGTGTGTTGCACATACATACACTTAGGCTCACACATAAAGTAAAATAGCAAATACAGTTTTAAGTGTTTCATGTGAACTAACTTTCCAGTAACCCTAGGAAGGTAGGTATTTTAGAGATGTGTTTTAGAATAAAGTGAAAGAAATGTCGAGGAAAAGTAATTCCAGGACACAGAGCTGTAGCACAAATCTTAAAAGGTCTTATTAATAAAAACAATCCTGGAGCCAGTTATTGGGGTGTACACTGAAAGATCAGAGAGAACAGGCCACAGCTAACCTCACCTCGCAAACTTCTCAGCTGATCCTATTTCCTCAAACTGGAAGCCTCTGAGTTCTCATCCGGAATGGATCTCAGCTGAACTGCTGCTAAAAGCCTAAAAAAGCTTAACTGACCCTAGTTCCTGGTCCTCACGCCTTATATACCTTTCTGCTTCCTGCCTTCACTTCCTGGGATTAAAGGCATGTGTCACCATGCCTGGCTCTTTCCAGTGTGGCTTTGAACTCACAGAGATCCGGATGGATCTCTGCCTCTGGAATGCTAGGATTAAAGGTGTGTGTGTCACCATTTTCTGGCCTCTATATCTAGTGGCTGTTCTGTCTCTGACCCCCAGATAAGTTTATTGGGGTGCACAATATATCGACCACAGAGCTGGTGACACAGTTTACCTCTGGGATTGACGCCAGCATTTTGCTTTTCACCAAGATGTTATCCATCGAGCCGTTTGCAAATGAATCCATCTGGTATGGCGTTGCAGGTATCCTTTGCCTAGCGGCGTCACAGCCCTACCTTGCATTTGAGGATGACAGTGGTGAGCTGCGGGGTGGGACACGAGAAGCTCAGGCCTTCACACGTCCCAGAGCTGGGTTTGACTGTAGCACAGCCGTGGAGGCAGTGAACCATCAGTGGTTTCTGTGTTCCAGCATGTTTCAGCTTTACATCGAGTCTCTTCTTTGCATTGCAGATGATTTACCCAGGAAACGGTTACCTCAGCTGTATAAACCGCCCACTCCTGAGATGCTGGCGTATCTTGATTTTAGTGTCTCCACAACCGGCATGCTTACAGGGGTGAAGGTAAAGCCATCTCACTCTGTTCTGGTGAGATGCCAGGCCGCAGTGAACAGACATGCCCGCTGTTCCAAGGAGGCCAGCTGGCTGTACCAGAGGCCAGTGGGTGGAAGGGTCAAGTGTCCTAGCTATATTTAAATCTGAGCACTGGCTCTTCCGGAGAAAGTTATCCCAAAGGATTTGCACTGTGAAGTGCTGTGGCCTCATACACGTGCTCCCCATAGTAAGAGCTCTAGGTCAGGTCAGTGTGCAGCCATCAGCTCAGACCCTGTGAGACAGTCAGCTGCAGGGGGAAGCCTGTCTGCTTAGTTTACGCTTAGGCCAGGCTGTGAAGCAGTGAAATGCATATGTCATACAGAACGTCGGGGGGCCGGAGCCTGTCAGAGCAGTGTCTGTACTGTGCCAGCTCCATCCTGTGTGTCCCTTGCTTTGCAGATGTCCCACTCTGCGGTCAATGCGCTCTGCAGAGCCATCAAGCTCCAGTGTGAGCTGTACTCCTCGCGGCAGATCGCCATCTGCCTGGACCCGTACTGTGGTCTTGGCTTTGCACTCTGGTGTCTCTGCAGGTAGGATGGAGACACCCGACTGGGGTTTGGGGCTGTGGCCATCATCCTCCCCTTTGCTTTCTTGGTTTGGTTAACTTTAGTAAAGCCCTGCTGTTCCCCAAATATAAGCACTTTATGTCTTTCTGATGTTTGTTTAGTTTTATGTGTATTGCTTTTCTTATTCTCCTCACTTAGTTTTATGCCTCCTATAACGTGGCACTGTTCCTGTTACCTGCTTTCTCTTCCATCCTGTAATCCTAGTTTTAGAAGCAGAGCCAAGTAGAAGGATGATTCTCAGGTGAAGTCTGGCATGTTTGACAGCCAGGATGTCCCCCTAGGCTTGGCAGGAAGGCATGGTGGGATGGAGTGACATCATGAGGCTGGAACGCAGCAGTCTGCCCTGACCAGATTGCTTCCTGAGGACTGGCAAGTCCCTGCTCTTTCCACTGCCTGCCAGGAAATGGTATCTCAGGCCTGAACTTTCACTTCCTGTACAAACGCTATGAAGGTTTCACAAGTCCCTGCGGCTCCTCCAGCATCTTCCTTCTGTGTCCCTGTCTTCACTGGGGTAGGGCTGTCCACGGAGTCCAAAGTAGAATGTAACTGTTATCTTCAACACCCTATGCCAGTTACATGCAGTGTTCACTGGTTCCGTTGTTCCCATTACCTGCCTATGTGTTAAAGACACTTCTGGGTCTTGGAAAAAATTAAACAAGACCAAGAATGGAAATGTGTACCTGTAATCCTAGAAATCTGAGAGGATAGGCAAGCATGGTTGTATAACAAGACCACCTCTCAAAGAGGGAAAGGAGTGGCTGGGAAGATGGTTCAGTGGCTAAGAGCACTTGCTACTCTTGTGAAGAACTCATGTCCAGTTCCCAGCACCCACATGGCACCACAGCTGTCTGTGGCTCCAGTTCCAAGAGACCTGATGCTCCCTTCTGACTTCCACAAGCACACACGTGATACACTTACATACATCAAGCAAAATACTCATATACATAAAATACAAGTAGTCAGGTAGCAGTGGCGCACACCTTTAATCCCAGCACTCAGGAGGCAGAAGCAGGCAGATCTCTGTGAGTTCGAGGCCAGCCTGGCCTGGTCTGCAAATCAAGTTCCAGGACAGCCTGTTAAACAGAGAAACTGTCCCAAAAAACTGAAATAAATAAACAAACAAAGTCTTCTTTAAAAGGAAAACAAAGCAACAGAACGGGTGACCGCTCGTCCCTGAGCCAGTGCTTGGGAGACTACAACGGAAGGTTGACCATGAGTCCAAGTCTCCCGCTGTGCGCTAGTGGGATTATTGAATTTTTATACCCTTCCATTTTACATGAAAGAACAAAGCTAATGAGGCCGGGCAGTGGTGGCGCACACCTTTAATCCCAGAACTCGGGAGGCAGAGGCAGGTGGATCTCTGTGAGTTTGAGGCCAGCCTGGGCTACAGAGTGAGTCCAGGACAGGCACAAAGCTTACACAGAGAAACCCTGTCTCGGAAAACCAAAACAAAAAAAAAGCTAATGAGGCCTTCTCTGGACTGGATGGACCGAAACCCCGGCTCCAGTGTTACTGGACTCCTGGGTTTAGAGGGTTAGACTTCGTGGCTGTAGATCTTCTAGGTGACTCCACATTCCTTCAGTTTTGTCCTCCTGCACTGCTGGAACCCAACCCTCACCACCCCTCACCCGAACTCTGTAGTTCCTTCTGACCATCTCCCAGCCATCAGTGGCTCCAGCTCCAGTTCCTGCTCCATGGTGGTTTATGACAACCTACGGCCACACTTCATGTGACAGCCGACACCTTCCACAGTTGCCCCAGCCCCTGGCCTCACTCCCTCTGCACTCTGTTCCAGGAATGTTGTGCACGCTCCATACTTCTCTGCCTGTATGCTGCTCTCTGCCTTCCCTCCCTCCCCCGACTTCTAGACACTCTTCTGGAGTGCTCCCCACTTAGTGAAGCACCCCCACCCCCACTTTCTCAGTTTGAGTGGATTGTCTTTCTCCTGTGCTCTTGGCTGGTTCTGTGAGTTTGTTACCACACCTACCAGGGCCTGCTTTGTTTTGTGGTCATGTGTCTTGTGAGTCCTGCAGCAGTAGGATGAATGGGCAGCCTTGGACCTCCGTGGCCCCTGCCGCCCTCCCCTGCTGTGCTCTAAGATGCTGAGTCAGCGAGTGTCAGCCTCCTCTTCTTCTTTGCAGCGTCTATTCCGGTCACCAGTCCGTCTTGATTCCTCCTCTGGAGCTGGAGAACAACCTCTTCCTCTGGCTGGCCACCGTCAACCAGTACAAGATAAGGGACACCTTCTGCTCCTACTCAGTGATGGAACTCTGCACTAAAGGCCTGGGGAGCCAGGTGGAGGTGCTGAAGGTGAGGAGCTAAAGGTCACAGCAAGTGACCATCCTAAGAGGTTCGACGACATGGCCAGGACTTGAGGAAGCTGGAGCAGGGGGTGGTAGACGTGCTTGTCTGCCCTCGATCGGAGAGTTTAACTTGCTCTTCCTAATTTAGTGCATTCCCCAGTAAATGAAGACCTCAGAACACCCCTAAAGAAAAGGTCCTCACTTAGGCGTGTATCCAGTGTCTACATATGAAGATGTCAAGTACTGAATTCTCTTCAACAGAGAAGTAGGGCCAACCAAAACAAAAGGTGGAAAGTTAGCTGCCCACATTCTGGGCTTGTTTTTCTACTAGTCCTAATAAATGAGGAGAAATCTGAGGGAAAGTGGGCAGGAACAGAAATACATTGCCGAAGAAAGAAAAGCCAAAGAGTTCAGAGTTTAGGGTGAACTCTTTGTGGTGGTGGCAATGAAACCCAGGGCCCTGTGCATCCTAGACTAGTGCTTTCCCATCTAGTCACAGCCCAGCCACAGACCAGACCAGCTACAGCCACAGACCAGCCACAGACCAGACCAGCCACAGTCACAGACCAGCCACAGACCAGCCACAGTCACAGACCAGCTACAGCCACAGACCAGACCAGCCACAGTCACAGACCAGCCACAGACCAGCCACAGTCACAGACCAGACCAGCCACAGTCACAGACCAGACCAGACACAGTCACAGACCAGACCAGACACAGTCACAGACCAGACCAGACACAGACACAGACCAGACCAGACACAGCCACAGCCACAGCCATACCTTAAGAATTTAGATTAAACAAGGAAGACACAGAGCAGAGAAGATCTCCCCGTGGGCGATTGTACTGACAGGTCTGAGCATTTCCTTTCTGAAGCTGCTTTGCTCCGTGTCTGGACGGAGAAAGTAGCTCTTGGCTTTTCCTGAACAAGAAGGGGTCTTCCTAACTACGTCTCTGGCACGAATGTCTTCCAGACCCGAGGGATCAACCTCTCCTGCATCAGGACCTGTGTGGTGGTAGCAGAGGAGCGGCCCCGCATCACCCTCCAGCAGTCCTTCTCCAAGCTCTTTAAAGACATTGGTCTGTCCCCTCGTGCTGTCAGCACCACGTTCGGATCCAGAGTCAATGTGGCAATCTGTTTACAGGTAACACCAAGAGATGGTCCTTGCGTTAGTGGTTCTTTGAGACAGTCTCCTTGTGTTTCCTGACCTCAAACTCAAGGCAGTCTTCCTGCCTTGGTCTTCTGAGAGCCACAGTGGACTGTGAGCTTCTGCAGTGGGGACTTGAAGGCCACACTGCTCTGCTTACTTCCTGTGGGATTTAGGCTTTTCATTTGGCTTCTCTGTGTCTCCTTATGTAGTCTACACCGTGATGCTTCTGCTTGCCCCAGGGCTGGCTGCAGGCCTGCAGTTACTAGGGAAGCCCTGAGACAGAGGCAAGCCAGTGCCTCCAGTGGAATGCTTCCTCCTCGCTGAGACCTGCTTGCATTTTATTAATCAATATACAATAGACAGACTCCTCTTTTTTTTTTTCTCTCTCTTAGACAGGGTTTCTCTGTATTGACCTGGCTGTCCTGCATCTCACTCTGTAGCCCAGGCTGGACTTGAACTCACAGAGATCCACCTGCCTCTGCCTCCCGAGTGCTGGATTAAAGGTGTGTGCCACCACCACCTGGCTAATATACAGCCTTCTTTTTTTCCTATCTCCTACTTATTTTTGCCTTTTTAAAATACACCTGTACCTCTCCTTTTTTGCCATGTTGTTCTTGGTGGGTCTAGAACAGTCTGATTTTATGCTGCTTGAAGGCTCATGAGTACATGGGCAAGAGTGAAAGGTGGCCAAGACATTGGGTCTCCTATGACCGTGGTCACATGGCTTGCAGGAAGTGTTGTGATACTTCCCTGTGAAGTCTCATTGTGCCCCTTGCTCTCATCCGTTTTGGCATGGTAGCTTCTCTCGTCCCTGCTCTGAGCCCTGTGCAGGAAAGGCCCTGCATTTGGTACTGCTTCATTGCTTCAGAGACATCTAAGAAGACACCAGGCCCAGGGCTCCCTACCTGCTGGCTTTGCCGTCTCCCTTAGTAGAAGAGAAAGCGAGAGTGAAGATTTCAGTGGACGCCTGCATCTGTGGATGTGGTCCACAGGGGCGGTCCATTTGCATCTGTGGATGTGGTCCACAGGGGCGGTCCATTTGAAATAAACACTGTGCTGCTTTCTTCTTCTTCAGGGAACCTCGGGGCCTGATCCCACGACTGTGTATGTAGACCTGAAGTCGCTGAGACATGACAGGTACAGTGAGCACCCCTCATCCTCTTCGTGTTTAGATTTTGAGGGGAGATACAGGAAGGGAAGGATTCATGTCCATTATTAAAAGTGATAGAAGTTTTGCTTATAAAAAGAAAGCTTAGCCAGGTGGTGGTGGTGCACACCTTTAATCCCAGCACTCGGGAGGCAGAGGCAGGTGGATCTCTGTGAGTTTCAGTCCAGCCTGGTCTACGTGGCGAGTTCCAGGAAAGCCAGAGCTATACAGGAAGTCCTTGTCTTAAAACAAAGAAAAAGAATGGTTTCTTTGCTCTGTGACAGTCAAGATAAATGAGGCAGGACAGGGTCTTTGAAACAGCACCGTTATCTACTCCAGAGTTTGTGAAGCCGCCTGCCCCACAGTGTGCACTGCTGAGATACTGAGCCCTCTGCACACCAGGCTGGTGGCTAGTCCCTAGTGTACCCACATAGACTCCAGGCTGCACCGTGGTGGTGGTTGGTTTCTTTTGTGTGTGTGTGTATGTGTGTGTGTGTGTGTGTGTGTGTGTGTGTGTGTGTGTGTGTGTGTGTGTTTTGTAGGCCAGAAGACAACCCCAGGTTTTGTTACTCAGTTCCTCAGGAACCATGCACCTTGTTTTGTGAGACAAAGCTCTCTCTGTGAGACCTGTGGCTTACCAGTTCTGCTGAGCTGGCTAGTTTCGTGGACGCACTGGTCTCCACCTCCCGGCACTGGGACCATAGGCGTGTGCCAGCCCAGTTGGCTTCTGACATGATGCTGAGGATGGTCCTTGTATCCTCCTGCCCTGGAGAGATTTGCCTCTCTTCCCCAAAGATTTCACCATGCCTGGAACATTTTTGGTTGTCACCAAAATGAAATCTAGCAAATAGGGCAAAGATGTTGCTAACACCTTCCACAAAATCTGTCTGACCTATGGCATCAAGAGTGCAGAGTGTAAAAGAGCCTTGCTCTGCAGGAACAGAAGATACCAGTTAGAGGCCTTGGAGAGACAGGTGTAGTGGTGAACCCAGTTTTAGAAAGACTGTATGCATTAACTGCTGTTCCTCTGCAGGGTCCGTCTTGTGGAACGGGGTGCCCCCCAGAGCCTCCTCCTCTCTGAGTCTGGAAAGGTACTCTCTTCTGCCAGCTGCTGGGGGAGGGTAGGCTGGAGGAAGAGGCCGGAGCCTGAGGTTGGAAGTTCAGTGAACCCTAAGGTTAACTTCACAGTCTCACCCTAGTGGATGGTCTCACTAAGGATAAAGATAGATGTGGACTTATTTCCATATTATTTAAACCCCATGGCATGCCATTCTTACTGAGAAACCAGCAGAATGTAATATTCAGTGCACACAAGTGCGTAGATAAGCAGCACCTCAAAAGGGCCAGTTGGTTCTGTCTAAACACTGATGGAGAAGAGGTGCTGGCTGGGTATGGGGGAGCTAGCACCCCGGGGAGCAGAGCAGCTGTGCCTGTGCAGGGAGCCGCTGCTCTGAGCATCACTTCATCCCCATCCCTCCATCCTCAGCATCTCCCCAACCCGTACTGTCCCTCCTCCCTGCACTGGCCAGACAGAGGACAGGATTGTGACGATATTTCAGTTCCTCTAGGAATCCTGAGGCACAGAGAAGAGAAAATCAAAGGAATCTCACTTAATCTATCCAGCAGATGTCACCCAGAGGGAGCCGACTGTTTTTGTTGTGTGGACTGTGCATTAACTGCCTCATGTCTGCACTTGGGTGCACACGGGCTCAGGAATGCCATGTCATGAGGGCAAGCTGAGGCTCCAGGGAACTATCTTTCATTCCCTTCGTCCAGGTTTTAGCTATTTAAGCCCTGATAGTCGGTAGGTCTCAGCTTTAGAGACCCAAGCCAACAATTTCAACAGGGCATGACAGGTGACCAGAATGACTGGCCAGCCCACCTGTCTTTTTGCCCAGAAAGGTCCTTGCACATATTGGGCAGGCAGCTAACTGCTGAGCTACACTCCTGGCCCAGGATAGATCTTCCGCTCAGCCAGCACCCGATTTCTTTCCTCTCCTGAAGATGGAAGTGTGAGTCTCTCGAGACGCCAGGGCCATGATGTCTCCCTCTGTTCTCACTGCTGCAGTTCCCCAGTTACAGCCTATGGTGTGGTCTCCGGTGCTCTCCCCTGCTGTTGTGACTTTGGAAAGAGTTTACCCAAAAGGGTACCAGAGTCTCACTGTTGTGGCCCTGGGCAGAAGTTTCTCATCCTCTGAAGAGATGGCATCCCGAGTCTGCTTTAGTTGGAACTTACTGGTCGTTGGGTCTCAACCAAGAAGAGAAAGGTAGACCAGGAACAAACAGAAAAGTGCGTCAGGGCCCTGAGTGAAGCAGCTCCTGCCATTTCTAGTCCCTAGCAGTGAAAGTCCAGTTCCTAGAGTTCATTGGTTGTTTTGCAGGGTTGGGGTTTGAAGCCAGGCCTCCAGCATGCTAAATAGGCCTCTGCCAGTAAGCAAAGCTAAAGCCAGAGCCAGGAGCTTTGACTGAGCTGAACATTTGTATTTCCCTTTTGATCCTTAGATCTTACCTGGAGTAAAAGTGGTTATCGTTAATCCTGAGACCAAAGGGCCTGTGGGAGACTCTCACCTGGGTGAGGTAGGTGTGAATCTCACGCTCACTCTGAAATCAGGACTCTCATCTGGGTGAGAGAGGCATGAATCTCATGTTCACTCTGAAATCACTAGCCAAGATTTTAAGGACCACACACTAACAAGCCAACAGAACTAGACTGAACTCCATTCCCTCCATTGGGAATATCTGTTTCTTTCTGGAAAGCTGTTATGGAAAGGGAGGAGGCTGATAGTGAAATCAAGACTGGGTAGAAATTTTCTCAGAGTAGTTCACTGCCTTCCCCTTAGCTGAAAGCAAGCCAGCCAGGTGTGAAGAGCTGGAACCAGGAGGAGCCACATGTCTACATTTTTCAACTCACATGAGTGTTATAGCCCAAAATTTATTTATGTATGTATTTGCTTTAATATGAAAATCCTCTTCAGGCTTTCCTCTATTCTCCCTTCCCCCAGATCTCTGAGGACTGCTGATGGACCCACAGCTTAGTGGGAGGAGTCTTGGCAGTGTGGGCCAGAGAGCAGCCTCTGCCACCATCTTAGTCATTGTTCTCTTCCTGTGCAGAGACACCGTGACCACAGCAACTATATATTATAAGAAAAAACATTTAATCGGGCCTGGCTTACAGTTTTAGAAGTTTAGTCCATTATTGTCGTGATAGGCGTATGGAGACATACAGGCAGGCACTGGAACAGGAGCTGCCTGATCTGTAGGCAGAGACAGACAGACAGACAGTCAGTCACAGACTCTGGGCTTGGCAGAGTCCACCCCCAGTGACACACTTCCTCCAACAAAGCCACACCTCCTAATCCTTGTAATCCTTTTAAATAGTGCCGTTCCCTGGTGATAAGAGTTCAAATGTGTGAGCCTGTGGGGGCCGTTCTCATTCACACCACCACAGCCAGTTACCAGCTGTCCAGGATGGGCAGGCTGCCCTCCTCACCAGACATGTGTCCTCGGCTCTGATAACGATGACATCTCCTCACAGAAGGAACAGAGACTTTGTCGTAGTCTCGTAGTCGTGTGCACTATACCTGTATCTGCGATGCACAACAACAGGCCGTCTGTCAAGTTGTCAACAGATCAAGGGGTGGCTGATACTATCGGTTGTCAGCTCTTGCCCTGTTTACATTGTAAACTCAAGAGCCTTGTGCCTTGGTTACACACAAGTGTAGTAATTGTGCCTTGGTGCTTTTGTGGGAATCTGGAAGTCTGTGAGAAATGAACCCAGGGAGGCAGTGCAGCCTAGTGGTTAAGAGCACAGCCTCTGGTGCTAACCACCGGGGTGGGGCTTCTTTCTAGTCCTGCATCTTAGAGACTTTTTAGACTTTTCTTTCTACCTGTAGAGTGAGAATAACAATGATGCGGCTCTGTGGGTGTCCGTGTGTCAGAGCCGATGAGGTCAGTGTCAGCTACACACTGTTGTGGTTGTGCTGTTCATCGGAAAATGAGACTTTAAAAACATCATAAACTGCTGTCGTCGTCTTTCTTTTCTTGTAGATCTGGGTAAATAGCCCCCATACAGCCAGTGGCTACTACACCATCTACGATAGCGAGACTCTTCAAGCTGATCATTTCAACACCCGCCTGAGCTTCGGAGATGCTGCTCAGACTCTCTGGGCCCGGACAGGGTACCTTGGGTTCGTCCGCAGGACCGAGCTCACGGCAGCCACTGGAGGTATCTTCCACCCCTGTTCTCTTCCCAGCTGCCTTGTTTACGTAACACTGGCTAGCCTATTGCACCCACCTGCGGAGGAGTATAGAATCCCCTCTGCACCCTTCAAACACGTAATGGAGTCACATTCACTTGAAGTAGGAACCTTTGCCCTCTGAGGACTGTCTGGAACAGAAGCCCTCAGGAACAGGGTGTTGAAGCAGCTTGTAACCCTAGCAATGCTCCTGGAATGGCTACTCCAGGCAGAGTAGAGCTCTCTCAGAGCTGACACCAGCGCTGAGCAAGTGGGACGACAACCCTTCCTCCTTCCTCTCCTCTGCCCTGGCACGCTGTTCTGAATCCAGGAGAAACAAACATCCTCTATCACTGAGGGGGAGTTGGTTCTTTGTTTTTGTTTCTAATGGTGTTACTACATAGCCCAGGCTGGCCTCAAACTCACAGAGAACCACCTGCCTCTGCCTCTGTAGTGCTGGGGTTAAAGGTGTGTGCTTCCATGCTTGGCCTGGGAATTGTTTCTGAAGTGGACCCAAACCCGCTTTTTGACAGTGCTGTCTCGGAGGGTTCCCTAACATCATCTCTGCCCAGCCGATCATCACAGCTCCTCTGCTGCCCCCTCACACTTCCCTGCTCACTGGCATTGGCAGCCACTGCAGACTTCTCAACACCAGCTTCATTTGCACACAGAAGGACTGATCCTGAAAACACCATGGGCTGAAAGGCCTCAGTGAGAGCATTTCTCCCTAGCCAAGCAGTGTGTGTCATTTCTCCATATTTCTTTTTTTTTTTTTTTTCCTGAACTGAAGACCGAACCCAGGGCTTTGCACTTGCTAGGCAAACACTCTACCACTGAGCTAAATCCCCAACCCCATTTCTCCATATTTCATGGGGAAGCCGCTGTCACCAGGGAGATGAGGGATGTGGTCCCTAGTCAGGTGACTGAGAGCAGACATTCTACCTGCTCTACTCAAGAGTCAGAGCACGGTGTCCAGAGCATCGGAAATGATGTGTGATTAAGTGATGTGGTACATCCAGTGCTGTCACATAGGAAACATTATTACTCCATTGCTGCCGTGTTTCTGCTATTATTTCATCATCAGAAATTTACTCTTACCAGGCTGGAGAGGTGGCTCAGGGGTTGAGAGCATTGTCTGCTCTTCCAGAGGTCCTGAGTTCGATTCCAAGCACCCACATGGTGGCTCACAACCATCTGTAATGAGATCTGGTGCTCTCTTCTGGTGTGCAGGGATACATGCAGGCAGAACACTGTATTCATAATAAATAAATAAATCTTAAAAAAGAAAAGAAAAGAAATCTACTCTTACCAGAAAAATACTGCAAAAGCCACCTTCCTTCTGTGTGCTTGCTGGGTTGAACCTGGTGGACTGATCTCCATGCTCCGCAGTCTGTAAACTGGTGCATGACCGCTGCCCCAGTCTCAGGTCCTTTCCTCCCTCTCCCCTCCTCCAGCCGTATCTGACTAATTCTTGTTCATTTGTCAAAGCTCAGCCATGGCATCAACATTTATTTCTAGAAGCTCTCTTCAAATCCTTGATTAGAGCTCATTTGTATCCCCAACTCCTCAGAGTTCATGCCTACCCATGCCTGTCTTTCTCTTAACTTGCTACAGGAGAATTCCTGTTTGTGTCTCCCCCAGCTAGGTCTTTTTAAAGAGGATATTTTCAATTATTAACCTAATTACTGTATGTGTATATGCTCAGGCATAAGATGGGGGAGGGGGAGAGAGTGTGTGTATAGACTAGAGGACAGTTTACAGGATTGGGGACTCCTTCCACTGTGTGTGTCCTATTGACAGTCCCCCATCTGCTCAGCCGCCTCACCAGCCCCTGTTTAGGGCTTCAGAGCAAAACCCACCTGTTGTCATTTGTGGCTCTCTAGCACTTAGCACAATTCCTGTCACTAACAGTAATAAGAATGGCTACATTTGAGCACGGAACAATGTACCATGCACCATGTCAACTACCTTACAAAATCATTTTATTTATTTGTTTGCTTGTTTGTTTTTAAGGATTTATTTATTATGTATACAATGTTCTGCCTGCATGTGTGCCTACAGTCCAGAAGAGGGCACCAGATCTCATTAGATGGTTGTGAGCCACCATGTGGTTGCTGGGAACTGAACTCAGAACCTTTGGAAGAGCAGCCAGTGCTCTTAACCTCTGAGCCATCTCTCCAGCCCCTTAATTTATTTTATTTTTTTTAAATTTATTTATTTATTATGTATACAGAAGAGGGCACCAGATCTCATTACAGATGGTTGTGAGCCACCATGTGGTTGCTGGGAATTGAACTCAGGACCTCTGGAAGAGCAGTCAGTGCTCTTAACCTCTGAGCCATCTCTCCAGCCCTAATTTATTTTTTTAATTTGGGACTGGTGAAATGGCTTAGCCTGTAGCTCCAGCTCTGGGGATCCAGAACCTTCTTCTGGACCCTTAGGGCATGTACAGACATACAGATACACATATACACGCAATTAAAAAGTAAAATCTTGCTGAGTGGTGATGGCTCATGACTTTAATCCCAGGGGAGGCAGAGGCAGATGGATCTCTATGAGTTCGAGGCCAGCCCGGTCTACAAAGCAAGTTCCAGGGCAGCCAGGGCTACACAGAGAAACCCTGTCTCAAAAAAACCCTCAAAAAAAAAAAATCTTAAAAAAAAATTGTGTGTGTTCGTGCACACCACCACACAGATGTGGAGGTCAGAGGGAAACTCTGAGTCAGTTCTTTCTTTCCACTTTTATGTGGCACACACCTACCGAGCCATCTCTCCAATCCAAACTAAATATGTTCCTCACAGCAGCGTTTTAACCTTATTTCTGTCTCACAGAGCAAGTAGCAGGACTCAAGACCTTATGGAATTGGCCGAGTCACAGTCCGATGACTGGCAACGTCAACCCTGCGCTCTTAATGCCAGCATGAATGGTACTTGGTGGCGTCTGAAACACACTTCTCTTCCTTCTTTCAGAGCGTCACGATGCCTTGTATGTGGTGGGTGCGCTGGATGAGACACTGGAGCTGAGAGGACTACGATACCATCCGATTGACATAGAGACCTCCGTGTCCCGAGTCCACAGGAGCATTGCTGAATGGTAATTTCCCCATACAACTATTCCCACTTTAGCTTTAGTAATGAGGAAAATTGATCTGGCTAATCAGTCATTTGTCCCAAGCTAAGGAATATGTAGATCACTTTCCATCTTGGTTGCATGGTCCACTGTGGCCATCAAAGCCTGTTCACCAGAGCCAAAAAGGTCTTGGAGCCACCACGGAACATGGTGGGACACTATGGACTGAGTCACTTTGTAAGAGCAGACTCTCATAGGTAGAAGAATTAGCAGGTCACCTGCCTCTAAGAAGTCAGTATAATGTGATATTAACGACTGTCTGTAGACTCAAAACACTCATTTAGAGGCTCACCTTGGGCCTGGTAGGTGGCCTGGTTTCCAGAACTCACTTGGTAGAAGGCAAGAACCAACGCCCACAGGTGTCCTCTGACCTCCCTGTATGGCTGTAGTGCACACAGACGCTCCCTCTCCCGGGGATGACAAATAGATGATAAAAAGATGGCTGATGATAAAGGCTTGCCTTGCCATACTTTCTTGTGCTGATCAAATCAGCATGTGCTTTTTAAAGTGTCAGTGGGAAGCAGGTGGAAAGGATAGGGTTACCATTTCAGCTGGTTTGCGCATCGCAGGAACTTGCCTGCATTTCCCTCATCCAGGGATTAGCCAACCTCATACTGATGGGAAGTTCACTAAAATTAAAACTGAGTTTCACCTACTGGTTTTCATTCTGGGGTTTTTTGTTTGTTTGTTTGTTTGTTTTTAACTTGTGTGTTTGTGTGAGTATATGCCACATGTATAAGAGTACCCATGGAATCCAGAAGAGGATGCTGGGTCCACCTACAGCTGGAGTTACATGTGGTTATAAGCTGCGCGACATAGATACTGGAATCAGAGCTCCTATCTTCTGTAAGAGCAGCCAGTGCTCTTAACTGATGAGCCATCTCCAGCACTTCATTCTTGGTTTTGTTTGTTGGTTTGTTTTGAGATGGGGTCTCTCCCTCTGTAGCCCTAACTGTCCTGGACTTGCCTTTGTAGATCAGGCTAGTCTCAAAATCACAGAGATCCGCCTGCCTCTGCCTCCTGAGTGTTGTTCTGGGTTCTCAGTGCCTGCGGTTCCCTCTCTGTTTAGCTCCTGCGTCCTTCTCCAGCTTGCCCCTTGTTGCATGACCACAGTTCTGTGATAGCTGCTCGTGCTTTCCAAATACCCCTTTGTCTAAGATGTCCTCGCTGCACATGTTTACCTGTATGCCAGCACTGAGGGACAGACACAGGAACATCTGGAGTTGCAGACGAGCCGGGGCTGTCCAAGGAAGAAAGCCTGCCTCAAAACACACACACACAAAAGGAGTCTTCTGTACTGCCTGGGTCAGAATCTCTCTCCAGACCTAAAACCGTATTGATCAAGGCAAGAACATCTTTACATGAAGAAACTTGTATAAAAGCATGTAGGGAAGTTGGTGCCATAACTGATTTTAAATATTCGACTTTAGTATAACCAAATATTACTTGTATCTACCTTTAATATTTGGAATCATTTTAAAAATCCATTAGCGTTGTATATCGAAAGCCAGCTCATACCTTCTGATACAGTAACTGCCCAGTGGAAAGTGTGTCGGCCTCACAGTACTTTCACACAATGTGTGACACCTTGCGAGCGACAGAAATTGTGTTCAAGAAAGTTTAAGTGGCCGGGTGTGGTGGCGCACACCTTCAATCCCAGCACTCAGGAGGCAGAGGCAGGCGGATCTCTGTGAGTTTGAGGCCAGCCTGGTCTACAGAGGTAGTTCCACGACAGCCCAGGGGTACACAAAGAAACCCTGTCTCATGGGGCAGGGGAGCGTAAGTGAAGTCAGACATATTGGCTCTCCTGAGCGAGAGAGACCATCTCAGACAAATAAACAACACTTGAGTTGAAGAGTAAATGGGAAGAACACCTGGCTGGCTGCCCTTCTGTAAAGACTCTGAGTCTCAGAAAAAGGGACAGGTGGACGGACAATCAGGAGTCACTGCCTCTCCTATCTCTACAGCGTGAGCACCTGTATGCAGTCCTTCTTCCCTGAACAGCTGCCTTGCCCTTCCACCCAGTCCCAAACTCTCAGACATGTGTGTCCTCAGTTCAGGCAGGCCCACCCTCAGATGCTCAGAAAATGCTGGAAGGTTCAGCTAGCCAGCTGGTCACAGACATGGCTGCTGACCTCCGGCCGACATCTAGCAGAAAAGACTATTCTGGGGGGGGGGGGGGGGGGGGGGGGCGTGCATCTCAGAAGGTAGCACAAAAGACCAGGGCCGGGCACTTGGTGCCAAGCCTGATGACCCGAGTGGAATCCCCAGAACCCAAATGGGGAAGGCGAGAACTGACACCCGAGTTATCCTCCCCACCATGAATTAGAAAGAAATGTTTTAAAGATGAGGATGCTGGAGAGAGGGCTTATTAGGAGCATTTGCTGCTCCTGCAGAGGATGCAGGTTCTGTTCTCAGCACCCACGTGGTCACTTACAACCAGCTGGAACTCTAGTTCCGGGGGACCCAACATTCTATTCTGACCTCTGGCCTCCTCGGGCCCTGCATGCATGTGGTGCACTTACATACGTGCAGGTGAGCACCCATAATCATAAAATTAAAATAATAAGTACTTTTAAAGGATGAATATTAACTGAGTGTCTTTGGATTTCAGTGCCGTGTTCACATGGACCAACTTGCTGGTGGTGGTTGTGGAGCTGTGTGGCTCTGAGCAGGAGGCCCTGGACCTGGTTCCTCTGGTGACCAATGTGGTTCTAGAAGAGCATTACCTCATCGTTGGTGTTGTGGTTGTGGTGGACCCGGGGGTCATCCCCATCAACTCCAGAGGAGAAAAGCAGAGGATGCACCTCCGAGACAGTTTCCTGGCTGATCAGTTAGACCCTATCTATGTGGCCTATAACATGTAGCCGGGCCTGTGGGGCCATCCTAAGGCTCAGAGAGACCCAAGACCCGAGGCTAGGGCAGGCTTGCAGCTGACATGAAGATGGCTCCAGAGTAGCCTTCATCTCATCCTGTGCAATTCTGCAGTCCCAGAACACCCAGGAAAGGGGAATTCTGCCACAGCGCGTACTAACACAGTTCCATGCATGTTGCATTTTCCCCATCTGGTATACATACCTGTATTTTTACCGAATGTTTAGACTTTTGTAAGGGAGTTCAATGAATTCACATGAAGGGGTATCTGAGTCCCACAGTTCCCCGCTCTGTACTGTATTTTGCCATTTTCCCGTAGTCAGGTGTTCTGCGGGGTTTCTTAATATGAAACTACCAAGCTTGAGTCGGCCCATAAGCAAATCAAATAACCCGTGTGAGAGCCGCTTTATATGTCTAATTCTCAATTATAAACACCTGACCAGTGTTTAATCGTGTAAATAAGAGTGCGCATAACTAACTTAGCTAAGGAATCGAGCAATCAGCTTGCCTAGCTGCAGCTGGCGTAGCTGGGCTCCCGCCGAGGACCTGGTGTGGCGAGACCAGCTTGCCCGGCAGCAGCGCAGCGCCTCCTGTCGGTGGGCGTGTGGAGGTGCACTAGAGCTGCCTGTGTCTGTTTTTAAAGCTTGTATCCCCAGAATTAGCTTGAGCTTCTAAGGATTCTTCAACCCATTCCTCTGAGCTGAAAAAAAAATCTCATGTCGGAATTTTCGAGGTAGCTAAGATTCCTAACCCGCTGCGGAACTGCAGTAGTTCACTCGGGCCAGTGTTGAAACTGTTTTCGCATTTAGAGTGACCGCAGAGAATTGCGAAGTTCCGCTTTTTCCATGCTCTGTGTCTGCAGGTGTAGAGCTTCCCCCACCCCTGAAAACTGAGGAGTACGCTCTGTCCTCCGAAGTCTGAGGGCGATCGCCGGGCTGGGAGGCAGTGAGGTCAGCCAGCTCTTGAACTGTAGGCCACATGCGCACATCCCGACACTAACCAGCCCGGGCTGCCAGGATAGCCAGGCTCCTAGGAAACAGGGAAGTCTGATGTATGCAAGAAACTCTTTTGAAATAACTGGTGCCTGGGCCACACTCAGTGTGGGACTGAGTTTGGCCTCTGGCTCAGTTTCCTTTCTTTGGTCTGAAACTTCATGTATTTGAATATAGTTAAATTTTATTATTTTTTTCTTACAGAAATATTTTTAAAAATTAAAGAAAACTTCAAGTGAAAAAGAATTAACCTGTTAAATCAGAATGGTTCTCTTTGACCTGTTCTGGTCTATTGTGTAAATATTTATTTAGACTATTTTGATAATACATATTATTTACCCCACTGTAACATCCTGTAAACTAAATGTGTTTTTAAGCAATTTGTAAGACTTGTAATTACCCTAAAAATATGGTTTATTAAGCAAAGACCAGACTCTTCACCAGGCAGCGCTCCTGGGCCACCTTCAATCTCATGACTCAGCCTCTATGGCCCCTTCTCCATATCGTCCCCCTCCCAGCTCCTGTTCCCCAGAAGGAAGCCCTCCAGAGCCTCCACTTCATTTGTGTTTTGGGTAGGATTGGTTTGCATGTGATGAGGGAGGTTGGGGTGTACAGGAAAGGGGTGCTGCCTCCTGGGCAGAGTAACATCCCATCCAGGGATCGCTTCATCTACAAAGGAAACAGCCTGCTTATTTTAGAAGTCTTAAAACTGTTTTGCTTTGTTTCTTTATTTTTTTGTTTAGTTTTGTTTCCTTTGTATTTTGAGACAGGGTCTTTCCACGTAGCCCAAGCTGGCCTGGAACTCCACCACCCCATTGCTGAGATTACAGGCATATGTAAACTCTTAAAACAGTTTGTGATTCTTTACCAAGCAAAGCAGGTGCCTGGGTATTAAACATTCTATGTCAACAATCTGCAAGGTCTAAGAAAAAAACTGTAGACCAATCCATCTTGAATGGTAACTCTTATGAATGCAAATTATTAACTTGTTTTCACCAGCCAGGGACACATTGTCTGAATAATGTGAGCCACATCTGTAATTTAAACTTTCCTAATAACCACTTTTTAAAAAGAGGTTTCATTGTGTAACCCTAGCTGCTTACTCTCTCTGTAGACCAGGCTGGTGATAAACTCACAGATCTTCCTGCCTCTGCCTCCTGAGTGCTGGGATCAAATGTGTGCACTGTACCCAGCTGAACACATCTTTTAAACATTTTTAAAGCATATGATATTGATTTTAATATATTTGCCAAAAGTACTATTACTTTGATATAAAATTATTGATTTTTTTTAAAGTTTTGGAAAACCTATGTGCATATTAAACACGTTTAGTTCAGACTGGCCACTTCAGGTTTCAGTTGTCATGTTGGAGAGTGCCGCCCTGCCACTCCTTCAAGCACAGAACTGTAGCCAGGTCATCTCACTGTGGCCAGCTCCCAGCGCTTAGGGCAATGATCTAGTTGTCATTCCCGGGTCCTCTGTTTTAAAACAATACTGGGGTAGAACACTCTGCCACTGAGCTCATCCCACGTAGCCCAGGCTGGCCCAGAACCTCTGCTTTCTTCCTTCTTCGGTCAGTGCTGAGTTTGTAGCAGATGCCTCCACACCTGGCCTCAGGCCTCTGGCCTTTTACCCCTTCCTGACAATGATTACTTCTCCCACCCCCACCCCCATGGCTTTGCTTTGGGTCCATCCCCTAAAACCAGATTATACTGGTAGGACAAAAGCTGAGCGCTGTCCCTGGAGAGCCTCATCAGTCCAGGCTCCCTCCTTGACAGGGTTTGTGATAGACCCCTGAAGCAGACCTTAATCTCCAACTTTTTTCTTAAGAAGAGTTTCTGTTGATGGCGTCACTCTGGCCCTTTCCACATTCAATGGAAACTTCCTGGTTGAACTGACGGTGAAAGCCGCCCTCAAGTGAAGTCCATCATTACCAAAACAAAAACCAGAATCGGCCTGCAGCCCTTCCTGACCACTGAACAGGGAGGCAGGGCCCAGTAAACTATCTAGTTACACAAAACTCCTCTTTTTTTTTTTTAATTTTGTGTGTTGTGTGTGTAGTAGGGTCTTACTGTATAGCCTGTGCTGGCCTCAAACTTGATGCTCTTGCTCAGCCTTCCAGTGCTGAAATTACAGGTTTGTGCAACCAGCCGCACCTGGCAAGAGAAATCTTCTAATCTGGAAATCTGTGAACCTTTGGCCCTCAGGAGAGGGACTGAGGTGGATCAGGGAGTTCTAGCTGCACACATGCCATCCCATGCACCTGAGCCCTCAGAATGCCCACCGTGCACACAGAGGCCCTGTTCTCCCAGTACCAGTCCTCTCAGTGTGCGGTTGTGTTGGCTGGGCTGCTGGGGACCATAGCCTGTCTCCTCACTTTAGTCCTGGGCCGTGCTTGCTTAATGCTCTCCTGGAATCCCAAGGGCCTGAGGCCTTAGGCTCTGCTACGGTCTCTGCCCCAGGCATGGTGCTCAATATCTCGGCCAAATAAGTTACTTTCCTTGAATATCCAGGAATTTTAAACTAAAGCAGTGGAGACTAGTCACCTTACCCTGGAACTCCAGTATAGCTGACTGCCTTAGTGTTCCCTGCGTCCTCTGCTTTGATGTCAAACCCAGAGTGTCTGGAGCCAGAGGCCGCGGCAGGCCTTTGCTGTCACTCAGCAGTCCTGACTTAGGCATGCGTAGATGAACCATGAGATTTGCCCCGAGGAAGAGACTTAAAGACACATGAAGTTTTTAGTCCTAAGTGCTGTTTTGTTTACTTTCTGTCAAGATGATATTTACCCCTGTCAAATTCAAACTATCGTACTGTGTAATTATGTATAAAGGTTTTTTTTATTTATTTGAAATTAGATTAGGTATACATTTTTAAATTTAACATCTGGCTGGACAGTGTTCTATTAACTCATTGAATGTGTTTCCTTTGTCTTGTGTTAATAAATTTTGATGCTTGATTGTGTTTAATCCTTCACATATTGGGTGGTGTGTGTGTGTGTGTGTGTGTGTGTGTGTGTGTGTGTGTGTGTGTGTGTGGTGGGATTGAACCCCAGGTCTCCTGCAGGCTGAGCGAGCATTCACTCCAGCACTCAGCCACACCCCCTTTCCAGGGCTTCTGACAGTAAGATGGGGAGGTGGCTGCAGTGGTTCAAGGAGATCGCTGTGCCACTGCCACCGTTCACGGAGGCAGGGGAGAGGACAGCACTGTCACTCTGCAAACCAAGAAGGCGGCGGGCAGACATTTTCTTTTTAAACTTGGGAATCTTTTTCCAAATTTCATTGCTTTTAAAAAATAATTGGGTTTCTTTCTTTCTCTCCCTTTTTTCCTTCCTACCTTCCTTCCTTCCCTCCCTCCCTCTTCCTTCTGGCAGTCTTGGAACTCTCTTTGTAGACCAGGCAGACCACCAACTCAGAGATCCACCTGCCTCTGCCTCCTGAGTGCTGGGTTCAAAGGCATGCGCCACCACCAGCCCAGCTTGGACTTTCTTTTTCTTTCTTTCTTTTTTTCTTTTTTTTGGTTTTTCGAGACAAGGTTTCTTTGTGTAGTTTTGGTGCCTGTCCTGGATCTCGCTCTGTAGACCAGGCTGGCCTCGAACTCACAGAGATCCGCCTGGCTCTGCCTCCCAAGTGCTGGGATCAAAGGCGTGCGCCACCACCGCCCGGCTTTCTTTTTTTTAAGATTCATTTATAGCCGGGCGGTGGTGGCGCACGCCTTTAATCCCAGCACTCGGGAGGCAGAGCCAGGCGGATCTCTGTGAGTTCGAGGCCAGCCTGGTCTCCAAAGCGAGTTCCAGGAAAGGCGCAAAGCTACACAGAGAAACCCTGTCTCGAAAAACCAAAAAAAAAAAAAAAAAAAAAAAAAAAAAAGATTCATTTATTATGTATACACTGTTCTGCCTACATGTATGCCTGCAGGTCAGAAGAGGGCACCAGATCTCATAGATGGTTGTGAACCACCATGTGGGTGCTGGGAACTGAACTGAGGACCTCTACAAGAGCAGCCAGTGCTCTTAACCTCTGAGCCATCTCTCTAGCCCTTGTATTTTTTTTCTTAAATGTTTTTTTCACTATTTTTTTTTTATCTTTGTGTGAGTGTTTGCCTGATGTATGTGCACTGAGTGCATGCCTGAGGCGGCCAGAAGGCAGACACTGAATCCCATGGAAAGTGGAGTTAAAGATGACTGTGAGCCACCCTGTGGGTACTGGGAACCAAACCCGAGTCCTCTGTAAGAGCAACAGTGTTCCTAGCTGACAAGCCATCTGCCTCTAGCCCCTTGCTTTTTTTTTTTCCCCCTGAATGTTACTACATTTGTATTCATTTTGTTGGGGGTAAGGGGAGCTTGCTATGGTACCTGTGTGGATGCCAGAGGATAACTTACAGGAGTCTTTGCACACAGGCCCTCAGGCTTGGCTGCAAGCACCCTTGACCACTTGGCCCAGCTGTCAGGATTTCTTCCCTCTGAGCCTGCAGCATGTGTGGTTGTAACACCTGGATTGCAGTGTCTTCTGCCTTGAGCTGGGCTGAGTTCCAGCCTTTTGGATGTGAGGATTCGTTTGCTCTAGCACGTCCTGGTCTCAGGAAACGTGAAGGGAGCCCTTCAGATTGTTCGCAGACATTGAAGCTCGTCTTTGCAGTATGGTCCAAGCTATTTTGGCATTGAGGACCCCCCTCCCCGGCTTAACAGTTATCAAATGCTGCCCACCAAGTACAGACATTGTGTTAAGAGCTGATGGTCGGACTGGAGAGATGGCTCAGCGGTTAAGATCACTGGCTGCTCTTCCAGAGGTCCTGAGTTCAATTCCCAGCAACCACATGGTGGCTCACAGCCATCTGTAATGAGATCTAGTGCCCTCTTCTGGCCTGCAGGGATTCATGCAAGCAGAGCACTGTATACATAATAAATAAATCTTTAAAAAAAAAAAAAAAAAAAAAAAAAAAGAGCTGATGGTCAAGGAAAATACGAAGAAGTCTGTGCCTTCAGGGAAATGCAGGGAGCAGTCATGACATGTAAGGACAGTTAGGAGCAGGTGAGAGCCACCGAGACAGGCAAGGAGGACGGGAAGGACTAGCTGGAGGATGGCATCGGAACAGTGGTTGATTTTTTGCTTTTTTAAGTCATGGTCTCTAGCTCAGGCTGGTCTCAAAACCCATCATAATCCTCCTGCCTCAGCCTTTGGAGTTCTGGGATTAGAGGATGAGAGTTACCATGTCTGACCTGAACTTGAGTTTTGGAAGATGACACAGGTAAGAAAAACAAGTAGGGAAAGCAGCAGGCATGGTGAGGCAGACTTGTCATCCAGTGCCAGGGAAGCAGAAGCAGGAGGGTCAGGAGTTCAAGTTTGTCCTCAGCTACATATCCAGTTCAAAGCCAGCCTGGGCTACATGGGATCCTGTCTCAACAAGATATATTTTGGGAACCGAGTCATTAGAATTGCTATGATGTGGGACTAGAGAGATGGCTCAGTGGTTAAGAGCACTGGCTGTTCTTGCAAAAGACTGGGTTCAGTTTCCAGCATCCACATGGCAGCTCACAATTGTCTATAACTCTACCTCCATGGGATCCAACACCCTCACACAGACATGCAGGCAAACAACCAAATCTTTTTAGAAAATTACTATGATGTGGATATGTGAACCTTTAAATTTTGTATGTACTGACCATCTCAGGATTGTCTCGTGAACACTGGAGTGGCCAGTGGCATGGATTCCCACCTATAGGCTGATTTTAGTCATTGAAGGACTCCAACAGTAAGTTCCTGAGGTTGTGTTCCTCCAGATTTATCAGCCACTTGGTAGCCAGGTGGCAATGGTAACCCTAGAAAGGCCAATACTCATGTAAACACCTGTTCTGGATGTGAGCATTTGACTCTTCTGTCCTGGGAGCTTTTGTGGGCATGTGATACTTATATAATTCACAAACACAATAATCAATAATTGTCCTCCATTAGGAGGCATTAATGGAGCCAGAAAGGAAGCTAAGATTACAGTGTGAGAGAGGATGATGGCTTGGTGTATAGAGAAGAGGGAGTCATGGGGCTGGAGAGACTCTTCCAGAGGACCCGGGTCCAGTTCCCAGACCCACATGGCAGCTCACACTGTCAATTCCAGGGGATCCGACACCCTCACACAGACAGACATGCAGACAAAACACCAGTGCACATAAAACTTAAAAAAAATTATAAAAAAAAAAGGGGAGTCACAAGCAGAAATTGTTTTCCCTATATCCCGACAACCAAAGTAAGCTAGCTTCAACAGAAAGGAGCTAACTACTCCAGCTGCGCATGGTAGCACATGGCTTTTATCCACTGTCACCTGGAAGACTGAAGCCGGACAATCACCTGAGACCAGGAGTTCGAATCTAGTCCTGGTAACATAGTGAAACCCTGTCTAATAAAAGGCTGGGAGCGGTAGTAGTGGCATTGGGGACCTAGTCACTACTATGACAGTTGAGGGCAGTGTAGGCCGTGGCCAAGTGTGTTTACAGCAGGTTCCTAGTGTGGGACTTTTACTGGATCACATTGTTTACAGGTGCGAGAGTCTGGAAAGTTCCTTCTGTAAGTCCATTCACTTAGGCCAGACTATTTTTTAAAATCTATTTTATTGTTTCTAAGTGTGTGTGTGTGTGGGGGGGGGGGTGCTACGTGCATGTGAGTTACAAGGTACCTCTGGAGGCCAAAGATGTCAGATTCCCTGGAGCTGGAGTAAGCCACCTTCCGTGCTGAGTGCTGGGAACTGAGCCCAGATCCTCCGTGAGCAGTGCACTACCGCCCAGCCTGACCGTGTCTTAGGAGGACAGCTTTCAACTGTTAGGGAACCAAACCCAGGCCCTGGTCCACACTAGGTAAGCGCTTTGCTATTGACCTTCCCAGGCCCAACCCTTCCCTTGACCCCCTTCCCTTGACCCCTCTGCCTCCCCGTCCCGGGATTGTAGCTAACACCCCGCTCCTCAGATGCTATCCCGAGGCGGGACACTGAAAAAAAAAAGGAATTAAAAGAAAGCCTCCCAACACCCGTTCGTCTCGCAGCGCACCGAGCGGTGCCGGTCAAGGTCAGGGACCTCAGCGCGGCCGAGCTCCACACCGGGGAGCAGGAGGAGGCCCGCCCCGCGCTGGACGGCAGGCAGGCAGGCAGGCAGGCAGGCAGGCAGCCAGAGCGCACCGGGCGAGCCGAGCAAGCCCGCGGCGGGCCCACCTCCCCGCGCGCGCCGGGGCTCGCCAAGATGGCGGCGCGCCACGTGAGCACGCGGTGACGCAGCACGCAGGCCGGCCGGCCGGCGCAGGCCCCGCCCCTCCCCAGCCCCCGGCCTGCGGTGGCGGCGGCGGCGGGTCATGCCGCCAGAGACGCCCCTCGCGGCGGGGAGACGGTAGCCCGGGACGGTTGGCGCCCGAGTCACGCCGCTTCTGCCCGTCCCCGCCCGCCCGCCCGCCCGCCCCAGGCAGGAGCGCCTCCCCGCCCCGCGCGGCCTGCGGCTGGGAAGTGAGCAGCGACGTCGGCGCCGCCTGGGACGGGGGAGTGGAAGTTCCCGCCCCGGGCAGCGGCCAGGCGGCTCCCGCCGCGGGTAAGTGGGGGCGGCGGCGGCGGCGGGGGGACCACGGTTTCGGGGCGGCCCGGGCGGGAGTGCGGCGGGGACGCCGTGGCGGGCACGCGCCGGCCCGAGCGGGGCGGGTGGGGGGGTTCGCGCGCGGCGCGGCGGTGGGGGAGGGGCGCGGGGGTGGGGCCGGCCGCGCGCGCTTCCGGCCGCGCGCGCGCCTCCCCGAGCGCCCCCGGGGCGTTGTTGGGCTCCGGTCCTGCGGGCGCGCTCGCTCCCTCGGCCCACGCCGCGGCTTGGGGCCTGCAGGCGGGAGGGGAGGCGAGGCGAGGCGCGCGGCGGCGGCGGCGGCGGCGGCGGAGCGGGAAGAGCCCGGGACGGCCCGCCACCAGGCTGCAGGCACCGGGTCCTCAGGCTCCCGCCCGCCC